CTCTAATTCCAGAAAACCCTAAAAGATAAATACATCTGTTATTTTATTTTATTTATTTTCGTTTATGCTACCTGAAAGTTGAGTTAATCATTTGTCCTCAAATCAGCTACATGTCCCCTCAATTTAGCCATGAGTGGTATCAGAGCTTAGGTTCGTTTCTGTTTCGGTCCACTTTGTGTTACATAATGATATCAGAGCGGTATGAACTTCTGGAAACTTAGATTGTGAAATCTTGGGCATGAGAAATAAAATTGATTAGACCCTGATACATATTAAGTGGTATCAGAGCTTAGGTTGTAAGATCTTGGATAAAGGAAATAGAAGAGTTAAGGTTGTAAATTTTGGGCATAGGAAATAGAATTGATTAGTTTATGATACAAAATGGTAGCAGAGCAGGTTGAATCTTTGGGAGCCTAGATTTATGAGACCTTAGGATATAAGATCTAGGTTTGCGAGATCCTAATTTCTAAGTTTAGGAATAAAATTGGCTAAGAATATTAAATTTTGAAAGTCGCGATGAGGATGTGAGATAACATTGCATATTTATTTGATTATTGGCATATTACTATGGTATTTGTAATTTGGTGGATTATCTGTACTTAAAATGGTGTCCCATAATTTGATAAATTTATTTGGTGTTGGTGAAATTTTGGAATTTGATTGCTTATTTATTTGTCTATGTTTTTGTTGCAATATTTTGCTAATTGATATGACTGGGGTAAGGACTTGCATTAAAGTTATTAGGGCATAACTGTGTTTCTTAAGAAGGTAGATTATAATACTAATGCCTTTCAAGGATATTATCTTTTTTGTTGGGTCTTGTTGTTAAGTCTCTAAGTTGCATATGTATGTTCTTTAAATGGTTTGATAAAATATTTGCACTTGGTTATTTGCTTAATTATTTGGATATGAGCAAAAGCCTTTCCTATTGGTATTCGTTTGAGTTACGGGGACATAACTTTATTTCTTAAAGTGGTAGAGTGTAATACTTCATCTTTGTGGTGTATTATCTTTTTCTTACGGTGTATTAAATTCGAGTTTGAATCTCCTTGTTGCATGTTTCCTTCCCTACCCTTGTTTGTATGCACCTTTTAAATTTCAACAACTACTCACATTAAGCACAAACTCACGCACGTTAAGCACAAAACTCACGCACCTAAGCACAAAACTCACTCACTTAAGTTTTCAACAACAACTCACATTAAGCACAAATCCACGCACATTAAGCACAAGACTCACGCACTTGAAGTACAAAAGTGACGCACGTTAAAACCGCACAACCGCACGAGAAACACTTGAATGCACTTGAACTTAATTATATATATATATATATATATATATATATATATATATATATATATATATATATATATATATATATATATATATATATATAGAGGGATGAGAACTGGTGCGGAAATTTGCTCAGGTGTGTACATGCGGTTTAATCTGAGCCATTGATCAAATCTAGATCAACAAATCAATAAATTAAAAAAAAAAAAACGCGTGTCTAGAAGGAAGAAGCGAGGGCTGAAAATTGTGCACCTTAAGTGTTACAAAGACGTACCTTAAGTAGTAAAACCACGCACATTATGTATAAAATGACGCACCTTAAGCGTAGAACATATGAACCTTAAGTTTATAATTGACGCACTTTAAATGTTAAAATGGCTCACTGCAAGTGTTGAAAGGACGCACCTTAAGCTTTGGAAAGACGCACCTAAATGTTTAGAGAAATGTTTATGGATGAGTTCTGGTGCGGCGGAGATGCTCCTAGGTGAAAAATGGGGTTAGATATGAGTCATTGTTCAAATCTAGATCAACGGCTCAAATCAATAAAAATTTTTAAAAAAAATGGGCGTCTTCTTCATGTTTACTCCAAAAAGATAACAACTCCACTGTTTGTTATTATATTGCTATCATATTTTTTTTTATTTTGAATTAGATCATTTTGAACTTGGGAACCAAAACTAAATAAATCCATTGCATTGTTGAATGAAAAAACACTGTAAAAATGGCGCACCTTAAGAAGGAAAACCACACACCTAAAGCTTTAGACCGACGCATCTTAAGAAGAAAAAACAACGCACCTTAAGAAAGAAATCAACGCTCCTTAAGAAGGAAAACCACGCACTTAAAGCTTTAGACCGACGCACCTTAAGTTTCACCTTAAGCTTTTGTCGTGGAGGATGGTGTTATTTGGTGGTTTTGAACTCTCCAATTGGTTTTGGTTGTTCTTATTATTATGAGAGCAATGAACTCTCTGTTTGGTTTGGTCATCGGTTGGTTTGGTTTGGTTTTGGTGCGGATGTTATTTTGAGAGCTTGAAAATCCTCCATTTGGTATCCATTCCTCTTTGACGCTATATATATAAGTATTGATGACAATATGAGAAATTAATAAATTATTGTAAGACGTACTCTCCTTTTGGCAAGAAATATGAAATGAAAAAATTGGCTTAGGTCTTCCACCAAACACTCATGAATTTTGGGTGCAAGGTGACATGCTGAAACTTATGAGTGATGGCGATGGCGAGACTTCAAGTAACCGTGAGGAGAGAGTGAGAGACGGCAATTGTATTGTCCAACGTAGATGACCCGAGGAGATTAAAAAATGTCTTCCCTAAAATGGAAAATTAAACACTGGAAAATTTTTCAAATTTCTAAGCACGCCCCAAGTAAAAAAAGATTTTTTCAAGTGATTTTGTAATTCTAAATAAGGATCGAGTTTAATCACACTTATTTGTCTCATTTAGTCAGTTAGAGCAAAAAGAGTTTAACACATTAAAAATTGTAATGGATTTAATGTAGTAAAATTTGTAATTGAATTAATGTACTAATAAATTTACAATATGAGCTGAATTTTGTATCTAAGTTTTTATCCTATTCATGTATCATAGATAACAAGGAGATTTTAATTATTTTGATTTTTGGTCCTCTGTAATAAATTAATTCAATTATTATATTATATTGTACATTTTAACATGTTTTTTTTAAATTTTTATTTAAATTTATGATAATATAATTTTATTCGTGCATATAAATAATGGGTGTTGAATGTTTACATTATAAAGTAATATAATAAAATCTGCAGTGTAATGACGTGTTAGTTTGAGTTGAAATCGGCACACTGGATTGTTATACTTGAAATAGAAATTATGACTTCCATAATGTGTTGCACAAGTCGTTGTAGTATAGTGGTGAGTATTTCCGCCTGTCACGCGAGTGACCCAGGTTTGATCCCCGGCAACGGTGTGCCTCTTTTTTTAGCTTTCAAAGTTCAAAGGAAAACAAAGCAAAGCCAAACAAAAACAATCCGACCTGCCGAAAGCAAAGCCAAACAAAAACAATCCGACCTGCCGAATTCAAACCAGCGACCTAAGGATATCAGCTCAGATTATACTCTAACTACAGTCCTCCGCTCTACCAACTAAAGTTATTAAAATCTTTCATAGATATTCTAAGTGTATAGAGATTAAAGCGAAATGAGATACCTGGAATGGTGTAGTTAATTTTAATAGCTCTTTCACTTTTCTTTACTTTCAGGATATCTAATTAAATTAGACTACCAAACTTTGCTAAGAAATATTAATATTATTAAATAATGTGTTTTTAATGAAAGATATGTTGATTTATAAGTTTGATACATATAATGACATTTGATATTTATAAATGAATATACAATTTATAAATTCTCACATTAAAAATTTATTTTGAAATAAGTGAATACAAAAATTTATTCAATTATAGTTATGAGAATGACTTAAAGTGTCCAAAAAATAATAGTATGACGTATTAAATGGTAAAAACGATAGTCTGAAACTAAATTTGAAATTGTCACCAAAGATAAGGTACCTCTAGTGAAATTAACTCTTAATAATAATTCAACATTAAAAATATCAATCCAAATAAAATTAGAGTAAGCATAAATGAACATAATGAAGATACACTAGACTAGGGGAAGACTACATGCAATGCAGTAAGAATTAGTAGAGATTTCTGAAGTAAAGCATTCAAAAGCCACTAAAGGAGCCGGGGTGTTTGGTTCAAGTTATTTAAGATAACTAAGGTTATATTTGCTTGGGAATATAAGATTCCTATGTTTGATTTAGGTTATGTTATTTTTTCAGAGAATGTCGCATAACCTCCGCATTAATTGGCCTTGTCATTGTCAAATTGGGAAAATGTAATTGTTGTTCAAGATGACTTAAACATCTAGTTGGTGTCCCAAACAAAAGAAAGTTTTGGCAGTAGAAGCATTAATATTTCACTAATTCATTTTAAGCTAAAACCCATTCTTTGAAGTACTCTCAAGTTGTAATGTAAAGTCCATTCTCCATGCTCCAAAGTACAACAGAGCCCTGACATCTTTAGGCATACTTGCATAAGATTAGAAAATGAAGGGGTGTTTGGTAAATAGTTGTTAGCGGATAGCTATTAGTGGGTTTGACTAGCTTATAGCATTAGCTGGTTGGAGAAAGGTGTTTGGTGAATTAGTCGTTAGCTAATAGTTGATTACATGCAAAATGATCTTTAAGGATATAATTTATTTTTTCAAAAAGCGAATAGAAAAAGCTGCTTTGAGCAGTTTTTTGAATTTTAGCGTTTTGGAGTAATAAGCTGTTACAAAAATTTGATTAACCAAACACTCATATTGATTGTTTAACCAAGTCAAATAGCTAATAGTTGTCAAACAAGCCAAAATTGACTGATAAGCTAATTATGTTACCAAACATGGCCATAATGGGGTGTTTGGTAAATAGTTGTTAGCTGATTGAGTTAGTGGGTATTAGTTGATTGTAGAAAAGTGTTTGGTTAATTAACTGATAGCTTATAGCTGATTACATGCAAAATGACTTTCTCAAAAAACTGGTCGAAAAAGCTAATTTGAATAGCTTTTTGAATTTTAACATTTTAGAACAATAAGTTGTTACAAAAAGCTAATTAATCAAACATTCATATTGATTGTTTAATCCAGTCAAACAGCTAATAGTGGTCAAATAAGCCAAAATTAACCCATAAGCTAACTATGTTACCAAACGGAGCCAATATGTTACATACCTTATTCAATCCCCAAGAACTAATGCAAATAGAGTCAACATTTCTCTACATCACTAATTAAAAAAGAAAAAGTTGAAACACACTCTTTAAACTATTTGAATCTTACTTGGGTTGCACCCCAGTATACACAAACAGACTTTCATCATTGTAAGGATGTTCAGTAGACCCTTTACTCACTCCTGAATAGGTCTCTGAAGTTGAAGCAGATTCATCAGCATGAGGGTTTATCCCCAACATTTCCATGATGCTCTCAATCTCTTTCACCACTTCCCTCATCGTCGGCCTTTTCAGTGTCTCATCTTCGACGCACCTAAAAGCAAGATCGGCCATCTTCTCTAAACTGGTAGGTGTCACGCTTGAGTGAATGGCCGGGTCAAGAACACCAAGAAGGCCATACATGTCTTTAGTCTTATCCATTGCTTCCTTCACTTCTCGAACAATGTACTTTCCTTTCTCGATAGGAGGCCTTGCAGTTATAATCTCAAGCAACACCACCCCGAAACTATAAACATCGCTCTTCTCTGTCAATTGATTCGTCATGTAATATTCGGGATCCATGTACCCCTAATCAGTCCAGGAAAAAAAAATGTCAATTCCTTAATGACCCTTAGTAGTTCTTCATGTGTCTGGCCATTGGTTGTTAGCTGATAGCTGATTGTGTTAGTTAGTTTGACCAGCTGATAGTATAAGCTGGTTATAGAAAGGTGTTAGGTAAATTAGCTTTAAACGAACAATGTTTTGAATGTTGGATAACAATAGACTTCACTTTCACTTACCATAGTTCCTTTAATTTGAGTGGTAACATGAGTCCTCTCGTGCTCGCTAAGTGACTTGGAGAGACCGAAATCTGCAACTTTAGCATTCAAGCGCTCGTCTAGCAGAATATTATTTGTTTTGATGTCACGGTGGATGATGGGCGGGTTTACAAGGTCGTGCAGATACTGCAGCCCTTTGGCTGCTCCGAGAGCTATCCTAAGTCTCTTCATCCAGTCTAACTTGATTCCAGACTTCCCTGTAAATGTAGTACTTGTGAGATGTGAACTTCACAGACTTGTATGTAACAGTAGGAGTTGGCATACCCGACAGACTTTCTTTCAACGTGCCATTCGGTATGAATTCATAGATCAACATCTGTTCGTCTTCTTCAAAACAAAACCCAACAAGGCCAACGACGTTCTTGTGATGAACCCTCGAGAGAAGCTCAATCTCGGATTTGAACTCGGGGGCGCCTTGCTTAGATCCCTGCTGGGATCTTTTGATGGCAACCAGTTGTCCATTAGAAAGAGTTCCTCTATATACCTGTTAAATCAAAACAGATCAAAAACCATAATCTGAAGTTTAGGCTTTTGTAGTGTTAACTTCCAAAATGGAAGCAGCCAGCTAATCTATCATGAAATATAACCCTTTTGTTTTTGTGACTAGGGAAGCCCACAGCCACTACCCGAGGTTGTGCACTGGGTAAACCCCCCTTGTGACCCTAGCCAGCCAAGGACCACAAGGAGGTAAACCAGTTTAGGTTGCCCATCGGCTCAAACCAAGAGACCAATAGGCTGCTTCTGTTGGCAGTTGAACTTGTAACCTTGTGATTACCAAGTCAACAGCCTGATCAATATGTCTGGGGTTGCACCATAGAATAGTATAATCTAAAGGGAATGAGAAATGAAACCTAACAACCACTACCCTTATGACCCTAGCCAGCAAAGGACCATAAAGAGGTAAACCAGCCTAGATTGTCCATATATAATTGATCGGCTCAAACCAAGAAGGCCAATAGGTTGCATCTATCTGTTGACAGTTGAACTTGTAACTTTGTGATTACCAAGTCAAATCTCTATAAAGTATAATCTAAAGGGGATGAGAAATGAAACCTAACCTTCCCATAACCTCCAGCTCCAATAGTATTGGCTTCTGAGAAGTTATTTGTGCATTTTGCAAGCTCTTCAAATGAGAAACACTTTGCTCCCTGTAGCTGGGGGGCACCAACACTGCTTTTGGATTTATCCCAGGAAACTGCATTTATAAGGAACAATGGTGATAAACTACACAAACACCGCTAACATTAAGCCGTTTCATCATTATTTCCTCATCTTACCGAAAGGATCATTCTTTTTAACCGCTTCTCGAGCTCTTCTCTTTTGGCAGAAAGCATAAACTCCGATTATAAGTGATAATATCACAAGGACTGAACCACCAACTGCTGCTCCAATTATAATTCCCGTACTCAAAGACTTGCTTGATCCCGAGGACTCACTACCTAACAAATAAGACGAATATAATGTGAATGACAATATGATAGAGATATTTAAACTGCATATATCATAAGTAATCCCATTTTGCATACCATCAATCAAATTATAGCTATTAGGAATAAAGTAGTACGGTCCAAACAATTCAGGTGCGATGAAATTCTGATAGCTAAGCACAAATCCAATAGCAGAAACTCCTGTCTGGTTGAAATGATTTTGGCCTTTTGGGAAAACTTGCACGTACAATACGAGATAAAAATTATTCTCGTCTTTTGTTGGATTGCTCAGGGAAACTGAATCCACCGGGAGGTGTTGAGATTTAAACGCATCCATCATAGACTCTTCAAGTGTAAGAAATTTACTCGAGTCTGTCAAGTTGGAGAACTTAGGGGCTCGAAAATACAGAAATCCAGTGTAAGGATAAGCACAAGAACAAGTAGGACTGGATATTTGATCCGAGCTGCACGGGGTAGGCAAGCAATTTGTTGTTCGAGTTGAATAAGTGGAATTAGAATCAGACTTTCGGGGAACGACACAATAACTTCCACTGTTTGATTCGTGACAGATTGGATTGCCTACGAGGCTGCAAAACAGGAAAGGTAATCATAATTCATAACACAATAATACTAGTTTTGTAAAATAAGAATTCATAAAACGAACACCGCCATTTCTACCTGGCTTACCTAATCTGAAATCGATATAGCGGTCCCTGTGAAAACGCATCTATATAATTGTTCTGCAGATCGATTAGTTCCAATTGTCTGCTGTAGTCGGGGCCAATACTCAGTGTGCCATTAAGTCCGTTATTCCTCATATTGCTGTTATTAAAAAACAAAAAACTTTTCTGTCGTTAAATTGTATATAACACGAGACTAAACTTATATGCATTTGCTAAAGAACAAGAGAAAACTCACACGTTCTGCAACTGATCGAGGTTGAAAAGTGATTCTGGAATAAGTCCTTGTAGTCCGGTACGTTCCAATACTCTGCTAGTACAATGTCCATGAATAAGGCTCCGAGAACAAGTAATATAAAAGAAATAAAGAAATCTGCTATCTTTAAAGAAATGGAGATCGAAAGAATACAGTACAATGTTCTAAGATCCTGCAAAGTTGAGAACCATGATGGGAAATCTGTTGGATCAAACGAGTTATTGCTCATATCTCTGCAATATCACCCATTAATTTGCCTGATGTTATTAACAATAACAAAATAATCATGAAATTAATAGTATTCATATTTCCGGGATTGAATGGGCATAGAAGCATACATATAGTGGATGGCATTCAAGCCAGTGAGGTTCGGGAAGGGGCCGCTCAATTTATTGTTTGACAAGTGCCTGCAGACACAAATTTTTCGAAAAAAATAATTTAAAAAAAATCGGTCATAGCATCATTAGTGACTTCTTAGAACAATGATATAGAGTAGATCACAAGTTTACAGGTATCTATATGCTTACAGTTCATCGAGGGATGTGAGATTGTTAAGGTTCGACGGGACAGGTCCACCCAACAAATTCCCGTTAAGGTTGCTATTGCAAACACAAAATTTTCAGTTCAAATTAGGTAACAAATGCATAGTTTACATTCGACAACTTAAGTAGAAGATGGGAATACTTACACGAAAGTCAAAGACTGAACAAGCCCCAATGTTTCCGGGATTCTTCCTGTGAACTGATTTTGCTCAAACAACCTGCTCGAATTGAGTGTGTTGATTAGTATAATCTATGTGAAAACTTAAACGAGATAATGTGAGCTAAGTGGAACTTACAAATGCTTCAATTTCATTCTCGAACTAAAAAGCCGAGCTGGAATCTCGCCCGAGAATTGGTTCCTTCCAAAGTGACTACAAGAGAGTGGATATAATAGCTTCAAGATCAAAGCAAGCAAGACCAATAACCGTAAAATAAAACGGACGAAACATACAAGTGTCCTATTTCGAAAAGCATATCAAGGCCAGGCGTGTTCCCGTTAGAGACAGGAATACTTCCAGTAAGCATATTGTCAGCCAAATCCAGCCAAAAGAGTTCCGACAATTTACCCAAGGAAGGCGGGATTGGCCCAACGAACTTGTTTAAATTCAGTGATCTGCATAAAAAAAGCTTTAGGTAAGAAGGGAACAACTGAAACCGAACACCATATCACATTTCAGCTTTAAATCCTTACAGATATTTCAGCTCGCTCAAAGATCCTATCGTGTCGGGAATTTGTCCAGAAAACGCACAAGCATCAAGGTTTCTGTTAATACGGACACAAACCATTAGTTTACAATAGTATCAACAAAAATCGTATTTACTACAATATTCCAATTTATCTTACAGATTAGACAACTTCTTTAAGTTTCCAATTTCTGGAGGAAGAGGTCCTGTCAAATCTTTGTTGTTTGATAGATCCCTATAAAAAGTAGCCCGAGAATTAAAAACTAACGCACGAATCAAATGTATGGAGAAACGAGGAATCGAGGAATTGTTTACTTACAGATTCTGCAACTCAGATAGCCTTCCAATGTCTCTAGATAGTTGACCACTGAGATTCATGCTTGATAAAGTTCTAAAATCGAAATTTTAACACATCAATCTTAGAAGTATATGGATTTGGAGTAACGAGGAGGAGGCAAAACTGGAGAAAGCTTACAATTGAACCACCTTTGGACCACTGCAAACAATTCCATTCCAGCGATCACCGCAAGGATCTGAGCCTTGCCAATTCGAAGGTAGGTTCCCCCACCCTTCTTGGAGTGACTTTAGAGCAACATCTGCATCAAAGCGAAGTCAGTTTCATGGCCATCACAAATCCATATCTAGGTACATGACAAAATTAGGCAGCTTAATCAGAAAACAACAAAGGCCTTGAAGCACAACTGGAAATGATAGGAATGAAACTCAAATTGCCCGCACAGGCAGCTCGGTTGGTTCCTGGTGGTAGATCGTGAACAATGACACAGATCGAACCCCGACAGCCCCAGTACAGGAGTTACACCCAATGTGGTGGGCACCAGACACTAGTCCTCCTATCTAATGGGCTGCTGAGCCACCATGATTTACCCCCCACTATCTGATCAGATCGGGGTGTGGGGCCCTAGCTAGGGGCGAGCCTCCTACCTAATGGGCTGCTAAGCCACCATGATTTACCCTCCACTATCTGGTCAGACCGGGTGTGGGGCCCTAGCTAGGGGCGAGCTTCCTACCTAATGGGCTGCTAAGCCACCATAATTTACTCTCCACTATCTGGTCAGATCGGGGTGTGGGGCCCTTGGAGTGAGCCTCCTACCTAATGGGCTACTAAGCCACCATGATTTACCCTCCACTATCTGGTCAGACCGGGGTGTGGGGCCCTAGCTAGGGGCGAGCTTCCTACCTAATGGGCTGCTAAGCCACCATAATTTACCCTCCACTATCTGATCAGATCGGAATGTGGGGCCCTTGGGTTGAGCCTCCTACCTAATGGGCTGCTGAGCCATCATGATTTACCCTCCACTATCTAGTCGGACCGGGGTGTAGAGACCTAAGGGCGAGAGAATTTTGTCTTTTGTGCGCAAGGAATGAAACTCATATAGACCAATTATAATGAGATTTCTGAACCTAATATTCTACTAATAACTGAGATTTCTGAACTTTTCAACTAGCCAGAACTAGCTTAGGGAGTATCATGCATGTACCATCTGGTAAGATATATATATATATATATATATATATATATATATATATATATATATAGATGAATTTCAATTCACACCCACACAACTGACACAAGCATTCAAGATCAGATTGTTCAAGAAATTGATTATTCCACTTCTAAATCCACACTAGATAGTATAACTGGCAAGCTGTTTCCTGGGAATGGACATCAGTAAACTAGAAAGAGACATCTTAGTGCCATACTATACATAGAAGCTAGTAGCATAAGCCTAAATTAGAAGAAGCATAATTAAAGAAAGACAGACAAACTGAGAAACAAAGAACTTACAATCATTATTATCTGTAAAAGCAGCTATAACCAAGAACTGGATAAACACAGGCACCAAAAGCAGCTGGATTCTTGGGAACATTGTTGTTTTTATCAAATGCCCATACCACTACTTCAACTCAAACCATAATTTAATTACTTCTCTCAGCATCTATGGTCTTTATGGGGCAAATGAAAGTTGTTTTCTATTCTGTTTTCCCAGTTGACGGATCGGAATATGCTGTCAACTCAGTATTAATGACACAGTTTCTCATTGGACTAAATACATGCACTGATATGATGTAACACATTAAGTTTGGTTAGTTATATCTTTCAATGATTTTAATTAAATATTTAAGTAATTATGGTTTAGTAATTTGCCACGACTCCCTTTAATATTTCTCTTAATAATGGCCAACCATCATTCCACACCTTCACATACTATAGGTATACTTTTAGATAAGCCAAAAATTCAATAAAATTCGTACATTACCCATTAATGTCTTTTATAATTTGTTTGGTAAAGACTTGTCTACTACCTAGCTAGTCAACCATCAGTCAGTCCATCAATTGTCTATAACATGTATTACCTTGGCAAGTTGGCAGCACGCCAGCACTGCCCATACGTACAAATGATAAACCCAAGTTTATAAGATAAAATTATCGATGTTATACCATAGATCAGGGCCCACCTTGTGAGGTAAGGTAGATTATATATTGCACCAGGACGCACAATGCATTGTGCATCGTGACCTAAATTTCGTTTCTGCCGTTAACTTCTAAAAAGAAAAAAAAAATTCTTGTTTCGTATGTACAGAATTGTATAGTAGAATAAATATAAACTCCTAACATAATACACATAATCTAATATAATACATAATACACATAAATTCTTAACATAATACACATAAGCACAAGTATTTAAAAAAAATACTGTAACAGGATTGGACGGACGGAACGGTGTCTGTCGCGTCAACTCCCCACCAACTTTTAGAAACGTCGTCGTTTTGAGTCAGGGCGCACAATTTGTGCACCCTGGTGTACGATATAACAATCGGCAAGGTAGACCCTAGTCCTAAATTGTGTATTTTTAGTATTGAAATTGTGAATATGTAGAATATAAATTGTGTTTCCAAATTTTGAGAATTTGTAAATACAATACAGGGTTATCACAAATTGTAAATTTTTAAAGGTAAATTTTAAACATCTAGTATGTAAATTGTGTATCTTTAAACATATGTCATCTTGCAACCTAGATCTACAGAATATAATTTGCCATTTTCCTGGCGTCACGCACGGTTATTCGCGTTAAAGGGTGACGTATCCGAGTCTCTCCCTCAGTCTCTCAGTCCGGATTAGCGTTGGAGTGACGCATACGGTATAGCCTCGTCTTTTGATTCGTTTCACATTTTAGGGTTACATAATGGTTATTAGTGTCCAAATCGAGAGCATTAATATGGTGATAATACAACAACATCCTCATTATGCCATCTGATATTGATGTAAATCTATCCCTTTGTCTAATTGATGACTTTGAAAAATCAAATTTAAAACGTATATTGGATTACATGCATGTTATTTTCGACAAATCATATCGGACATTTTAAAGTTTATCTTGCAAAATAGACTTTGATATGGGTTTAATTTTAACACAGAGTATATTAAAATTTTTTTAATATACTACATATTCATTTTTATCAGACATGTATCAAGAATTTATCTTTCTAAATAAATATTGGTCTACAATATTAGTATTTGCAATTTTTATTACTAGGGCGTTTTGGTGCAATGAGGGTCTCGGCAAAGTCTACCGTGCATCAGGGCGCATAATGCATTGTGCGCCTTGGCCAAAACGACGTCATTTTGACCATGTCTTTTTTTTTTTTAGAAATCCTGTTTCCCCTTTTTACTATTAAATTCAAAAAAAAAAAAATGGTTTCGAATGTACATAAGCTTATAACAGAAAACACATAAACTCATAACAGAATACATATAATCTAACATAATACATAATAAACATAAACTCATAACAGAATACACATAATCTAACATAAAATCTGAACAATAAAAATGACGTTGTTTTGATCAGGACGTACAATACATTGTGCACCCTGGTGCATGGTATAACGACTGGCAATGAGGTCCTTCAGAAGAAATGAAATGCAATTTCATGAAAATTATTTATATTAAATGTTACCAATAATTTTTATTATTTAAGATTTTTTTCAAAAATTACTATTGTCAAAAACATATATAAATGGCTATGTGATCGATGTGCATGTACTCATTTGTCCATACTTTTCTCTTATCGTTGGAATGATTTTTGGACTTAATGTAATAATGATACATGCAGCGGAAGTCACCATTATACAACAATTTCTATTGTTTTTATTATATTTAAGAAAATATCAAAGAAATTGTCATTTTAGCATGCCTAGCCCTTCAATGAAGTGGCAGAGCGACCCCATAATTGAAGCGATCAACTGCTCGGTCTTTAGTTTGTCTATCGTTCGAGCACACGAGAGAAAATAGATTCTTCAGAGAAAATACTTCTTTATGTTTTTTTAACTCTATAAGAAAAGGTAAATAACAATATGTGTACATGTGTGGATTCAAATAAGAACAACACACCGGAAAAAAATTATCACTGATATGGACCGTCCATTAGGGTTCTTCAACCATTGAATTTAGTAAAAAAAAAAAAATACATGGAATCAATTTTATAATTATTACAAATTTAAAATTTTACAATATTTAATTTATAAAAATAACTACGCCCTTTTTTCCCTTATTTGGATAGATCAAACAAATCCACACTTATATTGGTTATTGGAGACTATTCTCATGTGAACCTTTCAATATAAATATAAATATGTGTATGCATGTATGTATGTATGTATGTATGTAAATATGTATATGTGTGTATGTGTGTGTATATATATATATATATATATATATATATATATATATATATATATATATATATATATATATATATATATATATATATATATATATTAGAGATCAAATGGGAAGGAGGTTTATAGGTAAAATGTGGGATGAAATCTCAGTCATTGATCTAGCTAAAATTAATAGTCCATAATGAAGAAAATTTTTTTAAAATATAGTGACATTATGATAATTTTGTGTAAGTTTAAAGTTTAAGGTGCGTTAGTTTATAGCTTAACGTGTGTAAGTTTATAGCTTAAGATGCGTATGTTTAAACCTTAAGGTGTGTCACATTTTAGTTTAAGGTGCATCAGTTTAACTCTTAAGGTGTGTATATATGTTTAAAGATTAAGGTGTGTCACTTTCTAGTTTAAGGTACATCAGGTTAACTCTTAAGGTACGTATGTTTAAAGCTTAAGGTGCATAAGTTCAAAGCTTAAGGTGTATCAGTTCAAGACACTTGATCATTCGCATCCATGTTGTCAGGAAGTGCGTTATTTTTAAAAATTTCCTTCATTTTGAGTCGTTGATCTAGATTAGATCAACAACTCATATATCACCTCATTCTTCACCTGAAAGACCATTCGCACGTGAACCATCTCATATACATATATATTGAGGATCATATGAGAATCATGTCTTAGCCCTTAGCATGGTTGCAGTAGGCGCTAGGCGCTAGTCGGGTGGCCGGCCAGCCAGCGCCTAGCGCCTAGGCGGTCTAGGCGGCGCCTAGGCGGATTCTAGGCGGCGCTAGGCGGGCACCAAAAAAATTTAAAAAAATAGTAACAGACTTGTAGTTCGACAATTTTAATGAGGTTGTTTTCAACGTTCACTCAAATAACACATATAAATAAATAAAATAATGATAATTTATAAGTCATAATGTCATAATAATATTAAAATCAATAATTAAATCAATAATTAATGAAAGACGACATCGGTCAAAATCGAACAAAATTGGTCAAAATCAGACAAAATCGGTCAAAAATGGTCAAAATCGGACGAAATCGGTCAACTCGGCCGAGTTGGCCGAGTTTGGCCGCCCAGGCCGCCAAGGCGGCCGGCCGAGTTTTGGCCGCCTTTAGGCCAAAACTCCAAGGCTCGGTGCCGCCTAGCGCCTAGGCGGCCGAGTTTTGCAACCTTGGCCCTTAGGTGAGAACGTGAAAACTGCATGAATGCACACACAACTATTTCAAGGTCTCTACCGTAATCCAAGCATGCTTAGGAATAGGTTGTGTGCATTCTTGTACGGAGTATTAGATTGTATGCACTCATATAGTAGTTCGTAGGTTCTCACCTAAGGCATAGTTCTCATATAATCCCTTACATCTGTAAAAATTTAACGGGTTTGATCAGATTTTTTTTTTTAAAATGCGGTGACATTTTCGTAATTATCATCAACTTCACTATGCAAACTTGAACATTTAAATATGCAATCAAATGAGAACATTCCCTAAGTGAGAACTGCAGACAAATCTGATATGTTCATCTAGGATGATCATAGGTTAAAAAGGAAAAAAAAAAAAAACATAGTGACATTTATTTAATTTTCAGTAATTACGATTGTGCATTTGAACATGCTTGACAACGCATTCACGAATGACTGATAGTGCATTTAGAAACGCTTTTGATAAAATGGAGGAAGAAGGTGATGAGAATCATGTAGTGCATTCTGTGCACTATCAAACTTTTCTAAATACACATTTCATAATTACAAAAAAAAAAAAAATGAAGGACATCTCCAATGGGAGGAGAAAGAGAGAGAAAGGGGTAGAAATGTGTAGATAATGACTAGAGAGGAGAGGAGGTACATGTTCTAAAGAGATTGTTCTCTTCGGAGCATGTGCACTGGAGGGCGTGGGCATCACATGCCAATAGGAAGGTGTGTGTTGTCAACGCACCTTTTTCAATCGTAAAGGGTGGGAACAACTCTGTTTTATTAATTTTATTTTATTTTTTTTTTTTTTTAAAAAAAAGGTGTTCTTCATGTTCATTTAAATTTTGGTTGTTGAGGTCACAATATTTTATAATTTTATTTTAATTCTTTTTTAATTTTTTCACAATAAAAGTATTTTATTTTGTTATTTAAATTTATTTTATTAAAATTAAAATTTGAAATTGTAATATAAAATTGAAATTATTAATAGTAGAAAGTGAATAAAATAATAAATGATATGTAAGAGTGTAAAAAAGTAGGACCCACTAAAAGGGAAGAAAAAGAGGGAAGGATTGGAGAGAAAATAAGAGAGGAGATTATATAATGATGTGTTAAAATTGGACTATGCCCTAATTTCAGCATTTTTTTTTTTATTCTTATCTAGAAGGTTGTTGTCATGTGAATCTGATACATACCCTTTCTTTCGAGTCCACAACGAAATAATGACACATCATAAGAAACAAATATAAGCCGTAATTATATAGATGGATATACCATTACGCATTGTATAGGTTGGCATAATTTCAAGGTCCAAGAGAAACTGATCAGAAAGAAAAATAAAATGTCAGAATTTACAGCAATAGAGAAATTATGCTACCTCCCTCCCTTGATGCAAATCCAATCATTTACAACAAAGCATACACTATCTAAGCATTTGCTTCAAACATCGGGCTTGTTTAGCAATCAACGGTTAGCCCATCATGTTGCTACATCCGCAACAAAGACGCTCTGTTGTGCTCTTCCTTTCTACCCACTAGCCTCGAAAAAACAAGAGAATACCACTAATTGTACAAAGGGTGCCCCTTTTCCTAACCTTGAAGAATACAATGTTAATTGCACAATGGGCTGTGGTAAACCCAGAGCAGAGAGCATACTCTTCCAAGTTCAAGAACTGGAAATAACATTTAATATCTATCAGCGATGAGTGGCTGGTCGGGGCTTTGGTGGTAGGTAGAAAGTATCGCCACACTCGATTGGAGTATGCATAAGTGGATTCCATCTGTCAAACACCAGTCGGCCACCCCTGCCAATTCGTCCACGCAAATTCAATGAGCGTCCTAGTATGCCATCGGCCATTGATGAATCTGTTGGTGGCTTAATGCCTGCAGCTGCCAGTTTCTCGGGATCCAGAGGTTTCGTGAACAGCAGAACTGGCTCATTAGGATCCTGCATTTACCATGTTATCAGAAATGGCAGTTCCATAATATGGTTCTCTAACACAATGTCTGAAATGGCGAAACCTTAATTCCATATCCCCTATTCAACATCTAGTTACCTATATGTACATACATACATAATTATGTATATATGCATCCCAGATTCCCTTGCTAAAGTAAAACCAAAAAGGCGAGGGGAAATGGAAAGGAGCGAGTTATAAGAGGAGCAAGCACCAATTTTTGGAGCCATCCATATGGGGTCTGACGTCGTTTGAAGTCCCGTCTTATGCTTCCAGTGGAAACTGCCACCATCTTTGAGTCTGTAAAAGGCATAGAGTGTACCATAGAAGGCCGAGCATATGGACGGCCAACACCAACATCATCCGAGTCAACAAACTCATCCTCACTTGAACCAACCTTGCTTGGAAAGGAATGAAATCCTTGTAGGGCGAAGCTATCTTCAAAAAGCTCAGTTTCATTCTGTATACAACAATCAATTAGTAAACTATTCAAAAGCCAGTTATATCAATGGATCATTTACTTGAAGAAATTCTCACATTGAGACAAATAAAATCTCCAACTAGTGAGACGCAAAGGAATGTGTATTAGTGTACAAATCCAGCATCAGATCATGCCAAAAGTTATAGAATTTTAGATATAGCTATAGTCTATTTTCAAGGTGACAGGAATAGTGATGATACGTTGTGGGCAGAGTTTCCTTCCAACAATATATTTAAATGCACGCATCAAGAAGAAACTAATTGAACTTTCTGATACAAGAAACTTTTCGCTGCCAGCTAAATGCTCTACTTAATGCACTGGAAATGATAGTCAAGCCAAGAAAACAAACCACTTACCCTTAGAAGCATAAAGAATCCACAAATAATAAGCACAGTGCAGTACTAATTGCAGAAATAGCTACTGACTAAATGGGATTGAATTCATTTCTCAAATGATCATATTATACAGTTTACCTTCATTTCATGCTGTAAATGTAAAACAGGAATAATGTAGAAAACCAGATGAAGCCTCCACCATACCTTATGTTTCATTTGAAGTCTCTGAAGGCTAATTTCACTTTCCATAACTTCTCTCTTTTTCTCTTCTCTCTGCACACAAATCACATAAAATGTTTAAGCACAGCTACTGGACGTAGACATATATTTAAGCAAAACTGAGACCTTTTCCCTTTCTTTGGGTTTAAGTTAAATTGGAACACAGTTCATCTGAGATTTCTCTTTCTAACAATTAAGAAAAACTTACCTTGACAAGAGCCTCAAGAATGGTCTTTGCTTGTTCAAGGTTGCGTCTAACCTGAAGATGGAAGTAGTGTATTCATTAATTTCAAATAGTAAATATAACAAATGATGCAAGGTAATAGTTATGCATAACCATGTAAAATATTATAGCTCTATATTAATTGGTGACTATGTCAATACTGTTTGAAAACTTCCATTGAAACCCCCAACCAGCCTACAATACCAAAGAAAATACATGGCGGAAATTTGGTACATGGGAGAATGGCGACTTGCCAAAAGTCTCTAATCTTACACCACCAACCACCAGTTGTTAGCCACCTTAGGAGCACCATCCAAGATCTGAAGCAATACTGACAATTGGCAGGAACACCAAACACCTCAATCTCTTACTCTCACCTTAACGGCTTAACGCAACACAAGTTGTTTTATTTCATCTAAGGATCAAATAGTGGATATACTCACCAAAGCTTGCTGTCTCTCACCTCACGGCTACGTGCCATTTGTGGTGGGAAGTTTTAAGGAATCTATGTAATATACTTAACTATTACTTGTATAACTAATAGTTACTGGTTTGGGTTTTAAGTCATATAGCTTAGTCTCCTGTTTGTATACTACATAAATTGCATACCTATATAAGATTATAAGGCATGTTCCTTATACAATAATACATGCAACTCATATATACAAAGCCAAACTTCTGTCTCTTAGAGTTCTTATTCCACCATACATTATTGGCAAAGCTATAGCAACAAATTCAAAGTTTTCCACCAATAAAATATGTTCAACTAAAATTCCAAAAAGATTTTTTCATCTCCTAATAACACAAACATCCACAAAGAAAGGCATCAACAGTGGAATTGATCATTATAAATGATAACCAGTATCATTAGTTGGGCATAAAACTCGAGGTTGAATTAGATAACATTTGTAGGAGTTGAAATGCAGGCAAGCAACATGACTAGGTGAATGATAATTGGAAGGGTTGTTTGCCTGTGAAGGATATTATCATGCAGAAACAACATAAATGAAGAATGTCTGGAGTTTGACCAAGTGCAGTTTGAGGCATCAAATGAACAATCATGCAGTGAAGGGAAGGGCCACAACAACAGAATAAACATTCTCGGTTTTTATATTGACTAAGAAGTAATATCAAGTGAAAGAAGGGAGACCAAAATCACAAACTGATAGCTTAAATTGTCCATAAGCTCACCTGGCGAAGCTTTTCAAATGATTGAACATTGTTTTCCCTCCTTTGCATCTGGGAAAAGTAAGCAAAATACAAACACCATCAGTCCAACAGTAACGCCTCAGAATTTTAAAATTAAAACAGCAGAAAACTCACAACAAAGAAATAAGACAATGCCATTCCAGTCACATACCCTTCTTGTGTGGAGTCTGTGAGCCTTTTCCCTTGGCCTAAATACATTATATGGGTTGGTATCATTAACAGGTGGAGGTGGCTGCAAAAATAGTAGAGTAGAGTAGTAGACACTCAGATTTGGTTAAAGAAAAAATTCAAGTGAAAAAAGGAAGCCTAATAATATAACTATATGAACTGTAACAACTATTTAATAGCTAATATTGGGTTCATCAATGACCTGTAAGTGCCGAAGAATGGGCTTCTGCCAATGTTCCCGCTGATGAACAACAAAATGGAAAAGCCAAAAAAAGGAGATTAATGCATTAGAATTCATCTTTCAAAATCTTTCAAAATGGATATTAAAAAAGAAAATGGAAACAAATCTTAACACGGATTTTATGAACTCTGAGCAGAAAAATAACTTCCATATCATCTACACACTAAGCGCTAGCCCATATTGAGAATGATGAGAAAACAAATAGATTGTCACAAAATAATGGAAATGAAAAAGAATCGTAACACTGTTTTATGCTCTCTATTAGCAGAAATATAACTTCAATATCTACTTGTCAAGTAAAGGTACATTTTGAGAATGATGAGAAAACAAATAGATCGTCACACAATGACAGAAATTAAAAAGAAAAATGGAAAAGAATACTACTCCGTACAACAATTTTATGAACTCTATGAGCACATACATAACTTCCATTTCATCTACTCATCAAGCACTACTCCATCCCAACATAAACAAATTTTTTACAAGCTTCTAAAGGAACATACTGACCTACTGAAGTGGGTGCACAACCCAATATATACATTCAAAGAAACTGCTCTACAAAACTATATATCATCCCCACCTAATTTTATATCCGAAAAGAAAGACCCTGTCACCCAAACTTGTTCACATGAAAGGATAAAAATAAAATAAATGAGTTAAAGAAAAACAAATGACTTCAAAATAAAAAAGCCCAGACACTTCAAAATCCATGAAGAATTTCAAAGCACTCTACTTGTAAATCAATTCAATACACAGCTGATTTCTTTAAAAAGCTCACTGTGCACCAGCCTGGTGCTTCCTTTTTGTTAAAAAGATAGAAAAATGTTCAATCCTGCATAATCGATAGAAATTTGATGGGGGGTAGGAGATGTTTGCTAGCAGACCTAGCAGTTATGTTTTCAGTGAATTATATAAAAATAATAATGGTAATAAAAAACCTATACAGTATGAAATATAAAATTCATTGGATTATGAAACTCTAATGCCACAGAATTCATACCTTGTCTTTCCAGTAGCTATATATAGACTGAAAAACTCCATATGTTGTGGAAATAGATTGCAAACCCTAGCATTAAAATTAAACAAAGACAAACTATAAGATCAGTTACAAATAAGTTTCCTTTCAGAATCATTAAGGAAAATGAAAATTAATTGGCAAGGGTGAACAGCTAATGCTAAGCAGGTGTCTAGAGACTAAGTGGAAACAGTTAAGCAACAGTCAAGAGCTAATGCTAAAGCAACAGTCTAGAGACTGTACTGAAAAAGGAATGCAAAATAAAATTGACTTTCAGCAAGTATGTCCAGACTACTGTACGAAATAAGTTAACCAATAAACAGGTATTTCTTAAGTATATCAAGTTGCAGATTAGTCTTAAAGCTAATTTAAAAAGAGTGATTTGACATTTACTAGAAACAACTAAACTGGATATCAACAAATAAGATTTTCACCTCAACAGCAGCATCAAAACTGAGAAGCACGGGGATATGTGATACAAGAGTTGGTGTAATTACTCCTGCTCTTTCCCGAGCCTTGTGATCTAAAACTTCCAATTTATACAGGATTATCTCAAGTCTGAATCCAGAAAATAAGTGACATTAGGATAAGTTTTGGAAGAAACTACAGATGCCCAAAGCAACAGTATTCAAATTAAAGGGAATACACATACAGAAACAGGAAAAGAAAATACACAAAACAACCGAATTGTGAATATAAAAACAATAGAATTTATTTGTGGAAAGGCATACAAGGCTGTCAAACACTTTATCAGAAACACATTCCTTATTGGTTTGTGGCAAGATATAGGTCCAGTAAAGAGGAACTACTCACTAAAATCAAAGATGAAATCAAAAGGTCACGTGACAGTTGACTAACAGGATAGTCAAGGCAGTATCCCCTAAGAGTGTTTGGAAACCTGGAAAATGAGTCATTTTCCAGAAAACATTTTAATTTCCAGTGTTTGGTTGCATTCCAGAAAATTGTCTTAGATGTGTTTGGTTCATTTTCCGAAAAATGGGCATAATTGTATAATTAAACATTTTAATTGTTTCGTACTTTAGGTCTTTAGTTTAAAATATAACAACATTTATAAAAATAATGCTAATACAATATTACTAATTAGTATAATCCAATAATAACTAAACTAAGCAGTACAAACCATTTCTAAGTTTCAAACAGTATGTATATGATTGTGTATATGATTTCAATCCTCATTCAATTTCTCTCAGATCTTCTTCTTCAATTTCAATCCTCGTCGTCGACCGGAGTTTAAAGATCAAACCAGTCTTCTTCTTCTTCTCGGCCTGGTTGGATGCAGAGAGACGCATAACTCTTTCGCTGCCGCCTTTCTTTTCCTGCTCGGCAAAGCTTCTAAATATTTGGGTCTCGGCAAATGCAAACTCAGCTGGTTCACGTCCACCTGCCACCCGGCTTCAGGAAGAACTCCTCCGCTCCTTCCTGCAAGCACTGGTCAATTTTGGGCGCACGGTGACAGGCTGAAACTGATGAGTGACGGCAATGGTGAGACTTGAAGTAACTTTGAGGATAGAGTGAGAGATGGCAGGTGTATTGGCGGCATAGATGACTGGAGGAGATTGGAAAATGACTTCCCCCAAAAAAGAGAAGTCATTTTCCAGAAAAACAAGGGTATTTTGCTTTGACCAGGAAGATGTTTTCCTTTCACTCTAATTTTCCATACGTTACCAAACACTGGAAACCCAGAAATCATTTTCCGGGTTTCCAAACACACCCTAATACACAATTCACGGAATTAACCAAAATCCAAAATTAGCAAGGACCCTGCTGCCAGAACATAAGTCAAGTCACTGCATGCACAAGGTCAGCTTAATGGATCCAGCATTTGCTCTGCCCCCATAAAAATGCATGATTGTAACAATGAGGAGCCACATTAAATTGAGTGAGGCCCCTCAACCTTTGAAAAATCTTCAAGACAGCCATAAATTAGATAGGCATTTCCATTTGCACCCCTAACTAAAAGTTATGTTGGCCATTAAAAATAAAGAATGTAGTAATAAAATGTTGGACAGAGAAGTTTAAGATTCTGGTATAACAGTAACCCATAACCATATGTCCTGCCTCTAATCCTCGTCAAATGCTTAATGTTAGTTGGAACAAGGGTCAAGGGGAAGAGCTCCAGCATCTAAAAGTTCAGGCATTCAGAATCCCCTTGATAGAATTATTGCACTGTGATAATATTGACAAGTATGATATTTAAATTCTATACAATGTCTAGGCGGCTCATTTGTTAGGATTGCCACGAGTAGGGTAGTATACAGTTTTTAGGCTCAACATTATATCAGGGTTCTTAATTCTCAAACAAGATAATGTCTCCTATTATCAATATGAATGCCCATAGTATGGGTTCACCAGTTCAAGACAAAATCCAACTATTTATAATTGTACTAGGGATGGTCAGATGGCATACATCTTCCTTTCCCATCCTGCATGATATAGGACACTAGGACCCCATCTTTATGATATGTTTTAGTATCATGTCAGATATTGAGTTAGCCTTTACAAACAGAGGCAAAGGCGCAGTATTAAAGAACAGGTGAAAGCTACAATAGCATTGTGATATGGGATCAAAGAATAACATTATTCACATGTGAACTACAATAGCAACAAGTATAACAGGAGCTCAATAGATGAACATAAGACGTCAAGGAGATTATTACTTTTCAGCAGGAAGGATCTTCCTTTCATTATTGAACTCATGAAGCCAATCTTCATCTTCATTGTCAAGATCATACTCCACAAACTCTCCAATTTCAGCCCGAGCTATAATTATTTTAAAACAATTCATTAAATTGCTAGTAACTGAGAATGCTTATAACTTTCAAAGCTGTATGTACTCTACAAACCTCCCCGTGCATGTATATATGATGTTGGCTGAGTGAAAGTGCGTGAATAGTCTCTTTCATATGTATCCACAATTACAAACTCTGGAGTAGGAATTTCAGAAGCCAATTTCTTGGCAGAAACTTGCTGCACCTAAGGCACAAAAACCATTTCAGCAGTCAGTTCAACCACAGGTAGACACATTTATCTTTGGGCAGTACTTTGTCAATTCTTGTAAATGAAAATGCTAAACAAAAGCAAAACCCATACATATACTACAACATATAACACAAGACAAAATTGGACTTGCAAAACTAATTTTCAGTGAAGGGAATCCACCTCCGGGTCTGGAGCTTCGGCTGCAAGGCGAAGAAATTGGGAGTTGCGGGTATTGGTAGCTGTGTCAATATCATCATCGAAATCCTTTACAGATTTTATAATAGGCAGCTTCTTGTTAAAGTCAAGCGGACGGGGTCTAATTGATAGTCTACTCATTTTAAGCTCACCCTGAGCTCAGCTCAGCTCATCTCCAATACAAATATAAACCTAACTTCCCTTCTCTCTCACTCTCTGCCACTGGCCACTCTTCAGGCTGCAGAAAAAAGCAACTAACACTGAAAGCAGAGGAAAAACAGCAAAGTCCAGATAAAAACGAATGAGAAAATAATTATAAACGAATGTTGAACAGCATAATTCGACTCGAGGGCATAGAACCACGCAAATGCCAAGCCTAGCAAGGACGAGTCGACTCGCCCGAGCCAACCCGGGCTGCTGAAGAACGAAGGGGGTAATATGGGAAGATTGAGGAGGGATTTTGGATGGAGGATAACCTTCGGCCTTAAGGAGCTTCAACAATTTCCGTCCAGTGGTTGGCGTTAGAGCAGAAGAGGTCGGTTTTGGGCGCAGAATGGAAGTTAGGGTTTTCGCCGGAAAGAAGAGAGGGGGAGGTGCCGCCGTGAAAATTTGAGACTTCGGGGAGGAGGGAAGGGCGTGTAACGTAATATTAGGCTTCAACAATTTCCGTATCTAAAATGTTTTTTCTTTCTTATAAATAGAATAAGTAAACTATAATAAATGAACCAATCATTATTATATGGACCATATAGGTCAAAGTACCTATGAAGTCCCTGTACTATAGTGTTTTGTTCAATTTAGTCCTTGTACATTTATTCTGTTCAATTTAGTCTCTCTACTTTAAAAAGTGATAAAACTAAGGACAGTTGTCCAAATCTCATTACGAACATGGTCGTAATTATTTATTTTGGACATACTAATTTAATATATTGGTGATAAAAATAATTTTTTTAAATATTTATAAAATAATATATGAGTAGGAATATAAATATCCTCAGCGTCATGTAACCTAAGTTAACGATAATATTAACATTGTTAACTATTGTCCTTAATTGCACCATTTTTAAAAGTACAAGGACTAAATTGAACAAAATAAAAGTATAAGGATTAAATTGAACAAAATGATATAGTACAGGGATCTCGTAGGTACTTTAACCGACCATATATTATCGAATAGTATACATTTAATGCACAAATTTATATTTATATATATTATAAAGACTCAGTTTAATTTTACCCATGACTTAGGCAAAAAATTTTGTATGTTGAGTTTTGATTATTGTATATCGATAAAATTTAATAAAATTTGTCTTTGCCGATGTACCGTCGGTCGTAGTAAGCGAACTGTTGGACGTTAGAGTTGATAATATTCCGGCCATGTGGGGTCCCGCCTATGCGGTCATTTGCTCAGTTAGACATCACGTATAGCCCATACTCATCGTACTTTGGTGGGCTGATATTTAACAATATTTTGTATTTTTTATTTAGTTACGTGCTTTTTCTGGATTTACATGTCCTTTTTGCGATTTTCCTTAGCTTGCACCTTATTTCTTTTGTACTTGATTTTCGAGATTTTAGCGGAGTTGTTGGCGAAATCTATAAGCGCCAGCGGTCGCTTACTTTTTCATGTTTGCTCTTTATGTTGTATTTCGTCGATATATATATATAGAACAAATTGCACTTTTGGTCCTGTGAGTAGTATGGTACTGGCAATTTGAATACGTGACTTTCAAAACTCCCAATTTAAACCTTTAACTATGCAAAAATTGGCAGATTTGGTCCTCCGGGCCAAATTGCCGGCCAATTTTGGCCGAAAAAACATAAATTGGTTCAAATTTATTTGTGTTGAGGGCAAAATCGTCATTTCACTCCCTTCTTCTTCATTCTCCCTTTCTTCTTCATTCTTCTTCTTCTTTCTTCGCTTCTGATACATCCATCAAAAACAAACATGAGAGTGGATTGATAGCATAGTAATGCAAAATACAAGAATGTTTATAGAGTATCTCACTGATAAATAGCACTTGGCAGAGGGCACCCAAAGATTAGAACTACCAGTGTCAAAAACCACAGTGAACTTTTGAGGTGGTGACCCAACACCAATCTCACCAAAATACTGAGCATTCATGTAGTTCTTCAGAGCAATGATATCTGCACTTGGATCCCCTCGATAGTTTCTTGCATAACGTCCTTCCTTAGAGCCAATGCTTTCAGCGAGGTGGTTGATTCGATCTAATTTCCTCTTCTTAAGTCCAATTCTGATTAATCCATCGAAGCGAAGAAAGAAGAAGAAGAATGAAGAAGAAAGGGAGAATGAAGAAGAAGGGAGTGAAATGATGATTTTGCCCTCAACACAAATAAATTCGAACCAATTTATGTTTTTCCGGCCAAAATTGGTCGGCAATTTGGCCCGGAGGACCAAATCTGCCAATTTTTGCATAGTTAAAGGTTTAAATTGGGAGTTTTGAAAGTCACGTACTCAAATTGCCAGTACCATACTACTCACAGGACTAAAAGTGCAATTTGTTCTATATATATATATATATATATATATATATATATATATATATATATATATATATATATATATATATATATATATATATTATTTTTTAAAAACAATTATTATTATTATTAATCTTTTTTAATTATAATATCATTAGGTCATTTTACATGTTAATCTAAACAACTAATTTTTTCAAATATATTTTTACCAACCGTTGATACAATTCACTGGTCAAATCCGCTAATTAATTGGTTTCATTTACACGGGTACTTATTTCGGCCCGGTGAGGGCACCAAATGATTTGTACATCTTTGATTTGATCTTTGTTTGGTTTGGTAAAAAATACATTGCGATTGTCTACAGATGTCTGCCGAATTAACTTTTTGTTTTTGTTTTTTTTTGTTTTTTTTTTTTTGTTTTTTTTTTGTTTTTTTTGTTTTTGTTTTTGTTTTTGTTTTTTTGTTTTTTTGTTTTTTTTTTTTTGTTTTTGTTTTCGTAGTCTTCTACACAAATCTTTCTTTAGTCTTTACACTGTTCGGGTGTTATTGTACTTACTGTTCAAGAATTTCTCGTGCCCTTACTTGTGTTTACCTCTTATGTTTCTCTCCTTCAGGATGCGGCTCGCTCTCTCTTCATTTTCGGCATGCTTGTGTTGCTTCATTGTCAAACGTTTTTCTCCGCCTTTGTTTTCATTTTGATTTAGTGCTTACTAGGTACATGGTTTCATGTGGCCGGCATACCCGCTTTATGGTCGTATTATTGCGTGTTAATTGCCAACATGCGGTTATAGCAGGTTCCCAGTTTTTATTTATCATTAGTTCTTCTTGCACCGGGCGGTTCGCCATGATCTTTCCGTAGGCTGGTTTTCCTTTGCCGGAATTACCTTTGAGGTATGGATGTATTTTTTTTCCATGTTCGCTGCCGGTTTATGTCGCGCGCTACTTGAGGTCAGGTCCGCCTATCTACCTTTTCCGTTTACGTACGGGCATGTGCCGATTAACTTCTCCCGCTGCATCGCTTGTTAGGAGGCGACACGTTGAAATTGCGGCAGCGTAGGAACCACTTTCAATTACATTTGTGTTAAATATAAAATGCCCATTTACATACGTTCATTGGGATAATCAACAATAAAATAATAGTCCCTGGGTTATGTAGTCGTGTACTGGTGCAAAACAATTGAATACATGAAATTACGAATCAGGTTTTGTTGAATTTACGGGTGGCGAAAACCGTTTCATATGTTCCGGATATTTTCCCTTTTGCGGGTGGCTTATTATTATAATTATAATATATAATATTATATTATAATAATAATATTAATAATAATAATTATTATTATTAACCGATGAGCTTTAATATAGCTAATATCAAGAAAAGAAATGTAATAAAAGCAAACAATGGTATTTAATTCAACTACATAAAATAGAACTTGTGCAAGGGGTATAATAGTCTAGATGTAATAATTCAACTTACAGATCGTATTAGGGAAACATGCCAATTAAACTAGAGAAATTCACATAAAAACTCTAAGCTAATAGCCACTTTCTTTATCACTTATAGAAAAAGTAGGACCTAAAATTGTCTCATTCTCATAACATATCAATAACAAATCTAAGCAAACACACAAAGCATTTAAAGCATCATATTTTCTGCACTTTCATAGTAGAAAATAAGGATTATAAAAGGAGTGCAATGAACCTTAGTTCAATTCTCATTATAACTAAATTAAAAATTCCTCCAAGAAACATGCCAATAAATGCAGTGCTACAAATATCAAAAAGCAAACACACAAATCATTCACAATAACAATAAATCATAGGCAAGCATTCAACTCGATCATTTATAAACATTCAACAAATAAGCGTCTAGAACATTTATGGAGTTCTAACCCAAGACATTAAGCTAATTACTCACAAATCATCACAAGCATATATAATAAGAAATTAGAATAAAAATATGTAAAGAAACATAATAGGAGAAGAAGTGAAGAACTTATCAATTAAGATTTAAGAGTTAACGCCCGTTTTAATCTCTTGATTATGAAATATTACTTGATTTAGTTCTTAACTTTGAAAATTACTCAGTTTTGTCATCTGACTTGCGGATTTGATCAGCGCAAAGCGGCCAAGTTTGGTTTTTCTGATAGAGACTTTCTTAACAAAACAAAAGATGGAGATGATTCGTGTACAACTGGGGTTTGGTAATTTGCTAACGGTGGATGCCCAAGGCCACAGAGGGGGCTTAGCTCTCTTATGGGCAAATCACATTGATGTTGAGGTGACCAATTTTTCGAGAACCACATAGATGCAACTGTGGCTTTAGATGTGGGAAGTCCTGAATGGTGGTTCACAGGCTTCTATGGGTTCCCTGAGCGTCAGCGAAGGCAGGACTCGTGGAATTTGCTACGTACATTAGCTGGGCAGTTATGGGTGACTTCAATGATTTGTTAGATCAGGAGGAAAAGAGATGAGGAAGGCCACATCCCGCATGGCTTATTGCGGGATTTAATGAGGCAGTTGTTGATTCTGGTCTTCATGACTTTCCGTTTGCAGGATATCAGTACACCTGGTATCATTCTCGTGGCACGCCAGCGATGATGGAGGAGAAGCTAGACAGGATCCTGGCTACAGACACATGGTTATCTTTATTTGAAGGGGCAACAGCTAAATCAATAATATGTCCCTACAGCGACCACATGGCAAATCTTCTTAGTCCAGCTGAAGTGGTTCATGCATCGAGAAGGCGCCGCTTTTGTTTTGACAATATGTGGCTGAAGGAGGATATCTGCCGTGAAATTGTGTCTCAGAGCTGGGAGAAAACGATGGCTCGGGACCTTTTTGATAGAATTGTCGTGTGCAGTGCAGATGTAGGGAGGTGGGGGAGAACATATAATAAAGATTTTTCATAAACGTATTGATCAGTGCAAGGCAAGACTTGAAAGCCTTCGGTGCCGGTTAGATCATGGCAACATCTCTGAATATAATCACACTGAGACGGAGCTTCTTCGGCTATTGGAACAACAACATATTTTCTGGAGACAAAGGGCGAAGGAGCACTGGTGGAGGGGCGGAGATCAGAATTCTAAGTTCTTCCATAATTCGGTGAAAACAATGAGGATGAGGAATAAAATTCATAAGCTGCAAAATGATGAAGGAGCGTGGGTTGAGGGTACGGATGAGATTGGCAATGTTATGGTGGACTATTTCACTGGCTTATTCAAGGCAGGGAATGGAAAGATGGATGAAGTGTTGGCCTGTATATCTACACACGTCACTCCCATGGAAAATGAACGTTTGGACCGGTGAGCATTGAGGAGGTACGTACAGCTTTGTTTCAAATGCACCCCGACAAGTCTCCAGGGCCAGATGGTTTTGGCCCAAGGTTTTTCCATCATTACTGGATGTGTTTGGTGGGGACTTGACTCTTTTCTGTAGGGGATTTGTGGAGACTACCAAGTTGTCGATTAAGGCGAATGATACTTTTATTGTCCTTATACCAAAGAAGGCAAGTCCCGTGTCTATGAAGGATCTACGACCAATTTCCCTATCTAACGTAGTCTATAAGGTGGCGGCCAAAGTTTGTGCTAATAGAATGAAGGCGTTGCTAGATGACCTAATCTCTCCTGCGCAGAGTGCTTTTGTTCCGGGGAGATTAATTACTAACAATATAATGCTAGCATATGAAACTCATCACTCTCTTAAGCACAAAACACGGGGTAAAGAGGGTGTTGCGGCTTTGAAGGTGGACATGAGCAAGGCGTATGATCGGGTGGAATAGCAGTTCTTGCGGGGAGTACTTTTGAGAATGGGTTTTGTACAGAAATGGGTAAATATCATTATGGAGACTGTGTGTTCTGTAAATTACCATATACTCCATGAGCAGATACAACTGGGGCCCGTAGTACCCGGGAGGGGGCTTAGGCAGGGAGACCCGCTTTCCCCATATCTATTCTTAGTAGTGGCAGAAGGACTGAGTGCCCTCATTGAAAATAGAGTGAGACGTGGACTCTTGGATGGGGTGAAAGTAGCTCGTGGTGCGCCATCTATAACACATATACTTTTTGCTGATGATTGCTTTCTGTTTTTTCGTGCAAACAGTGTGGAGAGTTCCCAAATGAAGGAAGTGTTGGACAAATATGCATTAGCTTCGGGCCAATGTGTAAACTATGAAAAGTCAACTGTCTGTTTCAGTGCTAATGTGGCACAGACCTGAAGGAGGGAGGTGATCGATATTCTGGGAGTGGAGCAAGGATTGGTTACCGGGAAATATATTGGGTTGCCTTCCTTGGTGGGCCAGAATAAAAAGATGATCTTGGGTTTCTTAAAGGAAAAGATTTTGTGTCGCGTGCGTAGTTGGAACTCTAAATTCCTTTCACGTGCAGGGCGCGAGGTTCTTTTAAAGAATGTGTTGCACGAAATGTCGTGTTATGCCATGATGTTTTCTTGTTGCCAACGGGGTTATGCAATGAAATTGAGTCTATTTTGAACAGATATTGGTGGATTGGCTCGGTTACTGGAGGAAAAGGAATTCATTGGAAGTCTTGGGCTAAGCTGTGCAAACCAAAGGAGAGAGGAGGGTTGGGCTTTAGACGACTGAGGGAGATGAATCTATCTCTCTTGGGTAAACAGGTTTGGAGGCTCCTCACTCGTACTGATTCCCTTGTTGCCAAGGTATATAAATCACGTTATTACCCAACTTGCTCTTTGTTTGAAGCAACTATTGGCAGTAACCCATATTTTTTGTGGCGGGGTATGATGGAAGCTTTGAGCGCAATAAAGGATGACTGTTATAGGAGTATTGGTAACGGAGAAGGCACGCTCACTGGTGATCCGTGGCTCCCTCTCTCGGATAACCCTTATGTCACCACGGAGCTGCATGAGTTTATTACAACAGCGCTAGTCTCCTCATTATTCGCCATGCATGAAGCAAAATGGGACGTTGACTGTGTGAGGGATGTGTTCAATGCTCGGGATGCAGACGCAATTCATAATATCCCGGTAAGTCAACGTCAACCTCTGGACAAATGGGTGTGGGTTGGGGACCCCAAGGGTGCTTACACTGTTAAATCATTCTATAGGAAGTTGGTAGGAGAGTTCCCGGAGGATAATCCTTGGCATCTAATTTGGAATCTGTAGGTTCCACCAAGGGTGATGATTTTTTGTTGGCAACTAGCAACGGCAGTTATACCCACCTGTGACGCACTGTCTATGAAGCACGTTGCATGCAACTTGCTGTGTCATATGTGTGGAGTGGCGAATGAGACAGCACACCACATGTTCATACATTGTCCGAGGATTGCTTCCATTTGTGTGACTTTCGGCTTACCTACTGGAGCATATGGCCAAGGTACTGTGCAAGATTGGTTTTTTTACATTATTGCCTAAGCTGAATGGTGAATTAAGGTGTCTGTTTTTGATGATATGTTGTGGGGTGTGGAATAGCAGAAACAACAATGTGTGGAATGCCAAAGCCTTTGACTCCAAATCTATGGTGGACTCAACGGTTATGTTTTGGAAGAATTGGAGGGCGGCGAATGAATAACCAGAGCTTGGTGGTAGTCACGACGGTTAAGTTGTTGCTCGCTGGAGTGCCCCTTCCGTAGGCCGACTCAAGCTAAATACGGATGCGGCTTTTGGTGCAGATGGCAACTCGATGGGAATGGGTTGGATTTTATGGGATCATGGGGGTCTCTTTTTGGCTGCCAAGGGCCTGACTTTACCAGGGAAGTACACTGTTGAAGTAGCGGAGGCGGTCTGTATCCGTGAAGCTTTAAGCTGGTTAAAGGACACTGGGATGGGAGATGTGGATGTAGAAACAGATTCCCAGTTAGTTTATTATGCATTACGTTCAAACTCGTTTTATTATGCTTTTGGTTTAGTTGTAGATGATATTAAAGAAGTGGCATCCACTATACATGGTGTCAACTTCCGTTTTGTTAAGCGATCTGCGAATCGTGCTGCCCACATTGTTGCTCGGGAAACCGTTTCTGTGTCAGGTTGCAGGGAGTGGTTTGATGGCCCTCCTCCTTATCTGGTTAATTGTATCCTCTCTGATTTAATGCATTAAGTTCTTATTTCCAAAAAAAAAAAAAAAGAAAAAGTCATGACTAAATTGGATAATTTTCAAAGTCAATGACTAAATTAAGTAATACTCTATAGTTGAGGGATCCAAGCGGGTATTAACTCCATATTAAGACAACTATTTATAATTCGACAAAAAAGTTACTTGCATAATTTGGTAGTATAATTCTTCCCATATTTTTATATGAATAAGGTTCAAATTGGCCATTGAACGTAAACTGAAAATGCAATTAGGCCACTGAACGAAAAAAGTGTAATTAGACAACTGAGCACTCCAAATGTATGTAATTTCACCTGATAGCAAGTTACCTGCTTACGTGGTAGTTGAGTTGACATTTTTAATAAATTTTAAATAATTTTAAATAAATTTTAATAATATCTTTTAAAAAAAAAAAAAAAAAAAAAAGAACGGTGGCCACCCCCTCTTCCTTCGTCTTCGGCAGAGACGAAGGAGGGGGGAGGGGGTGGCGACACCGTCGTTTAAAAAAAAAAAAATTCTTTTTCAACTTTTTTAAAAAGAATTATTATTAAAAATTATTTAAAATGCCAACTCAACTGCCACGTAAGTAGATAACCTGCTAAAATTGATGGTAACATGCTATCCGGTGAAATTGCATACATTTGAAGTGTTTAGTGACCTAATTGCACGTTTTTAGAGTGTTCAGTGACTTAATTACATTTTTTTTCATTCAGTGGCCTAATTATATTTTCAAGTTACGCTCAGTGGCCAATTTAAACCTTATTCCTATTTTTATATAATACTCCGTACTATATACTTCTCTTATTATATATAGAGACAACAACATTGATCAAGGGTGTCAAAACTTCTGATTAGTTGTAATTAACACAAAGATATTGTATTTTGTTAATACTACTACTACCTGACCTGAACCGGAAGTGAACCTCCCATTTATTTGTATCACAAAATAGTCACTTAAAATATCATTTTATGATATTTTTCCCACCTAATTATATATATATATATATATATATATATATATAGTAAATACCCAAAATAGTCCCTCGACTATAGCTAAATTCACAAATTGGTCCTTGACTTTCAATTTCAACCAATTAAGTCCTTAACTTTGCAATTTTGACACGATTTAGTCCTCCATCTATTTGACCGTTTGTTGACCGTGATCAACGATCTCCAGAAGAACCTTCAGCTCTCATCGGAGCATGTGGAGACCTCCAGGATGACGTTGCACTGGTTCGGAAACACGTCATCTTCTTCACTCTGGTACGAACTCAACTACATTGAATCCAAAGGGAGGATGAAGAAAGGCGACCGGATTTGATAGATTGCTTTCGGCAGTGGATTCGAATATAACAGTGCGGTCTGGAAATGCAACTAGAACCTTAAAAAATCGACGATGGACCATGAAATTACATATATATCCTCAAAAATCACAGTCAACAAACAGTCAAATAGACAGAGAACCATGAAATTACAAAGTTAAGGACTTAATTGGTTGAAATTGAAAGTTGAGGACCAATTTGTGAATTTAGCTATAGTCGAAGGACCATTTTGGGTATTTACTCACATATATATATATAGCGCTCATATGCAGAGGGACCTTTCCGTGCGACGGTGCGACGGGGTTCCATAATACACCAACAGTGTTAACGCCAAGCACCAATAATGTAAGGGAAACACACCATAATGAAATGCAAAAAATACACAATAAACCCAAAAGAAATACATCATATAACTCACCACCCTTAATGGTGTATTTCCGAACACTATATGATGATTTTACTCACACAGTCACACCTAATGGTGTGTTTTTGGTAATGCATACCTAATTTGTGTGTATTTTTGTAATGCATTAACGTTGATGGTGTATATTAGCTCAACTATTGGTGACGTTGCACTGCCGCACCTGAACTTAACATACTCTCTCGCTCTCTCTCTCTCTCTCTCTCTCTCTATATATATATATATATATATATATATATATATATATATATAATATATATATATATATGTATATATAACGTGAGATGGAAATAGAGTCACAATGAAGTTGAATTTTTGCATAGAATATAAAGATTTTGTGGCGGATATTTGAATCCAACAATGGCATATGTCAACCTTTTGAATGAGGTAATCTTCACCTAACCCGATTCATTATTTTTTTTAAACATAATTTTAATTAATAATTAATGGCGCCAATTATATTGAAATTGTAAGGACTTTGAATTAAATAATCTTTTTTTTTTTTTTTGAATAAAAGCTTAATGCATTATATTAGAACCAAGAATGTTCACAAAAAATTGAGGAGGAGAGTGAAAATATTCATCGCAACCTGACAAAGAAACGACTTCCCTAGTAAGAACATGGGCAACACGATTCGTAGATCGTCTAGCAAAATAGAAAATTACATCGTGTACCTGAGATGCAATATCCTTTACATCATCAATTATTAAGCCAAAAGAAGAATTATAAGAATTAAAAGATAATGCTAATTGCGTTGAATTATAAGAATGAAATAATCTTTTATAACTTAATCTGACTCATTACCATTCTCAAACATATAAAGTTGATGGATGATACTAATTACGTTGAAGTTGTGAAGACAATAATAATAACAGTAGGTGGGTGGTGGTGGTGAGAATTAATTTGGTCATAGATTTATAGGTGAAAGTTTATTTTTAGTTCCTTTTTATTATAACATTCACCTTTGGTTATAGTATATATTATTGTGGCATGATCATTTTTTGTCATATGTTAACAAAATCGTTGAAATGATGTTAAATACAAAAGTATTTTGATAATTTTTTTACATAGTGGATTGACCTGTTATATTTTTATTTTAATTTTTTAAAAATCTCTATTTGAAGACCGAAATGTCATTGTATTTAAGAAAATTTAAACAATTTTGCTAATAAAGGACCAAAAATGATCATGCCATAATAAACTATGACTAAAAGAGAATGCTTTGTAAAAAAAAAAAAAAAAAAAAAAAAAAAAAAAAAAGTGGAATGACACTTATAAATCTAGGACCAAAGATGGAATTAACTCTAATAATAATTAAAAGTTCTTGTAAGTTTAATTTGATAATAAAATTTAAATGCTAACTTGTGATTTTTAGAAAAAAAATAATTGTTTTCTATAATTACAAAAAAAAAAAAAAAAAAAAAAAGATCTCCAATCAATTATTTCTTCCTATTCCCTCAAATAATTTATACATAATCCAAACTAGTACGAAAAGAAAAGAAAGTAATTATCACAAGAAAGCTTACTCCCAATTGAGAGGCTAATGGGTTGGAATAAGTCCAATCTTTGTACATTACTCTAATTGCACCACAAAATGTGTGCCTACTAGTGCGTTACTCACCTTTCCAACTATACAATTTTGGATGTTTTAATGAGCAAGAAAACATTATTATTATTATTATTATTATTATTATTATTATTATTATTATTATTATTATTATTATTATTATTATTAAAAATGCTATTTTACTATATTAAATTTTTTTCTCTAATTTTCTCCGTCGATGTGATTTTCATTCATTATATTGACTGTTCCTGAATTAGTTGACTCACACTAGTTACGAGCAACATCATTTGTTTAGATTTTTAGGGCATTTACATTAGCAGATTTTGCAAAGTTCTTACACGGTTTTTAAGAAATGTAACGTGATGTGGAGGAGTGAGAATGTAGAGAGAGATCTCAACTGGTCATAGAGGTGCAAGTTGAAAAGAATGACCAGGGATCGAGTCTCACCAGCGCTAGTGTGGGAGAAACCTCTCAAAGTGAGGGAGCTCCTTGTGTGCAGTAAGTAAAGGTCTAGCTAGTGTGGGAGAAACCTCTCAAAGTGAGGGGGCTCCTTGTGCGCAGTAAATGACCAAAGTCATGCCCTCATTAAACACGCTAATCAAACTTTTTCAAAAAAAAAAAATGTCAGACACTGTTTTGTGGGTTTTTTTTTGTTTTTTGTTTTTTGTTTTTTGTTTTGTTTTTTTTTTGATTTTTCTCTTTAATCTCATTTTCTCTTTTCTAATCACACTTTCAAAAACTCCTCTAAATTTACAAAAAATCCCACTACTAAGGATGCCGTGAGTTTTTACAATGATGACAAAGAAATTGTGGGGGAAAAATAAAAAGCAAAAAAAAAAATGCTTAACAAATTACGCGCTCAGATGGCGCGTGCATTGCACACACCATCTGAGCGTGGTGTTGTGATGAGCACGCACCACTTGCACATTTTTTCTCTCATATTGCTCAAGCCATGAGGCCCACAAAAAATTAAAATTACAAGAGAAAGAACTTGATAAAAATCCTTCTCTCCATTTGTTTAAAAACCAAAATCAAAATTTTCATATGAAAAAATCACAAAACAACCAACAAATGGGGTTGATCTAATATAAAATTTAGTTGTTTAATCAAACAAAACCACAACCAAGTTTTTCATATGAAAAAATTATAAAAACACCAACAAATGAGATTGCTCTAATATAAAATTTAGTTGTTTAACTAAATAATGATATGTCAAGACTCAAGAGAGAAAGATTAGATCAGAGAAGAAATATATGTATATTGCATACTAATAATAATAATAATAATAATATTATTATTATTATTATTATTATGGAATAAAACTTACTTTATAACTCCAAAACACGGAATCATTATAATTAGTATAACCGACAATCAATTTCACTATGGTCCACTACCTCCCACAGCTAACATATGGGCCCTCTTTTGTTTAAATATTACACTCATGACCCCTGGGATGCTGAAACATCTTAGGAAGCATTTGGTTTGAATATAAGAATCAAAATTTCGATTTAAATTAAAATAAATTATCCAATACTCAAATTAATTTTAATAAAAGCAACATTCTCAATTTTTCACTTATGACAAAAATAAATGAACTTTCAGAACAATGTTCGAGAGGTATTGAAGTGGTTAAAGAATCTTAGATTGGATAGTGTACATGTTGAAAGTGATTGCATGAAGATAGATAGTGGCATCCAAAATCAGTCTTTCATGTCATTTATATTGATCTAATTATTAATGATATTAGGAAAGTACCCAGAGATTTTTTTAATCTATGCTTTTTATTTGTTAAACGATCAGCAAACAGAGTCACCCATTTGTTAGCTCGAAGTGCCTTGCCCTAGCTTGACTGTATGGACTGTTTCTCGATCATTTTCCTTTCTATTGCTTATGTATTGGAGTTAGATGTATCCTAATCTACTATATTCCCTTTGCTTTCAAAAAAAAAAAAAAAAAAGAAGAAGAAATTTCAGAAGAATGTAAAGCACATTGGGGCCAACCTAGAGGGTGTGATTGAGTGTAAGAGACTCATCCATCTTTAACCAAAGGTCAATGGTACACCAAAAAGAGGTGTCTACAATTCAGCGAGTATTCTGGGTATACCAAAAAAACAAAAAGCACATTGGGGCTCTATTAGAAATAGTGTAAATTTGAAGGATCCATGTGAAATTATCCCTAATCATTAATAAATAATTAATTAAATTAATACCCTGAAACGACAATAATGCTGGAAACAATCCAAGTAAATAATTGGCACCGACAGACGTCTCCCCCTGCTACTACTATAGTCCACATCACTCTCCCTTCCCTTCCTGCACATAAAGCTCCCAACTTTAAGCTCCAAGAACCACAGATCAAGCATCCCCAGATCCACATTTATCATCCTCATCTCTCAATCCCACTTTACTCTTCGATTTGAGGAGCTGCGCAATCCGAAATGAGTATGTACGGTAGGGACCCATGGGGCGGGCCGCTGGAGATCCACGCCAACGATTCTGCCACCGACGACGACCGGAGCCGGAACCTGCAGGACCTGGACCGGGCGGCGCTGTCGAGGTCGCTGGACGAGACGCAGCAGAGCTGGCTGCTGGGCCCCACGGAGCAGAAGAAGAAGAGGTATGTTGATCTGGGCTGCATAATTGTGAGCCGGAAGGTGTTCAAGTGGACTGTCGGCAGCGTCCTCGCCGCCGCCGTTTTGGTCGGGTTGATTGTCCTGATTGTCAAGACGGTGCCTCGCCACCACCGCCCCAATCCGCCGCCGGATAATTACACTCTTGCCCTCCACAAGGCCCTCATGTTCTTCAATGCTCAGCGCTGTAAGTGTGCCCTAACTATACTCAATCAATTACATACATAACTAAACAAAAAATATATATTTATATATCTCCGTGTATGTGTGTGTGTATACTTGCCTTTTTGAGTGATTGATTTATTGATACAGTTAGTTGGATGTTAGGGTAAAGTTTTGATTGATCCTTAATAGGAAAATTTCAATTTTGTTTGTTTTATATTCTGCATTCCAAATGAGTGGTCACAGGATCGAAGTTCGGGCCGAAAAAGATTGAGAAAGTACAGAACAGATATTGCTCGTATAGAAATATGAGTGTTTCAGAAAAAAATATTAAAATAAAAACAATTTTTGTATTGTGTTTATTATAATGATATATATGGTAACTTCAATTTGGTAAGCATGATTTGACTAAAAGATTAGTATTTACTTATTTTGTTATGATTATGGTACTCATCTTCATTGCCATTTTCATCTAATAAGATGGTCTTTTTATGTTAATTCAATTTTTGGATTGCTTGTAATTCCTGGAATTGGTGTTTATTACAGCGGGGAAACTACCGAAGCACAATAATGTGTCGTGGAGGGGTAATTCATGTATGCGGGATGGCAAGTCTGACGATGCGACGATATTTAAGGATTTGGTTGGTGGCTATTACGATGCAGGAGACGCGATCAAGTTTAATTTCCCGCAATCTTTTGCTCTTACCATGTTGAGCTGGAGCGTGATTGAATACAGTGCGAAATATGAAGCCGCGGGAGAGCTGAACCATGTAAAGGATATAATTAAGTGGGGGACTGATTACCTCCTCAAGACCTTCAATTCCTCTGCTGATACTATTGATCGGGTTGTTGCCCAGGTAAGTCCATTCGATTTGGCCAATGCATTTATACGGATTATACCAATTGGACCTGAATTACAAAGATCCAAACAGTGCGAAAGTACTAACCAGCTTGGTTGGCATGAGTGACCGTGCACTCTCATCCCTTAAGTGAGGTCGGGAGTTCAAACTTCGAACCCCCTCTCGTATAGAAAAACCAATCTGGCCAGCACTTTGCCCCTTAATTGGGCCGGCCGGTGCGAATGGGGATTAGTCTGAGTATGGTACGGGCTTAAAAGTGTCTCCTACAGTTAGGGCCTGCTCAGGACACCTCATGGCCTGACAAAAAAAAAAAACATTGAGGGCTTGCTCGGGACACCTCATGGGAGGAAGTACTTGAACTGGGCAATCTCATCGAAGGATTTTTGTATGTTTTTATGCTAGGTTGGATCGGGGGATACTGCAGACGGGAGCACAACTCCTAACGATCACTATTGTTGGATGCGTCCCGAGGACATCGACTATGACCGGCCTGTGTTTGAGTGCCACAGTTGCTCCGATCTTGCTGCCGAGATGGCTGCTGCACTCGCATCTGCATCCATCGTGTTTAAGGACAACAAGGCCTATTCACAGAAGCTTGTCCATGGCGCTCGAACTCTCTTTAAGTTTTCTAGGGATCAGCGCGGGAGATACAGTGCCGGTGGAACTGAAGCTGCGGTTTTCTATAATTCCACTAATTATTACGATGAGTTTGTCTGGGGTGCAACCTGGCTGTATTACGCTACCGGAAATTCTTCCTATCTTCAGCTTGCCACAACTCCGGGTATAGCTAAACACGCAGGGGCATTTTGGGGAGGCAAATATTATGGTGTGATGAGCTGGGATAGCAAGCTTGCTGGAGCTCAAGTAAGTCGATAAGTCCCGCCCCGTCCCCTTAGATTTCTGCTTCCATTAAAACGATCTTTAGTGAAGTATGAAATGATTTTAAAGCTATTCCTTATGTGATTGCCATTTTGTTCTTGAATGTGTTCTTAGGTGCTTCTGAGCCGTTTGAGATTATTTTTGAGCCCGGGATATCCTTACGAAGAAATTTTGAGTACATTCCATAACCAGACTAGCATAGTCATGTGCTCCTACTTGCCATTATTCACCTCGTTTAACTTCACAAAAGGTAATTAATGTTACAATTTTTTTTCCTAATGTGTAGATATAACTTTAATCTAAATTTTGGATGCATATAACTTTAAAACTCGAGGGGTGTTGCAGGAGGCTTGATACAGCTGAACTATGGAGCGCCTCAGCCTCTTCAGTATGTAGCCAATGCAGCGTTTTTGGCCGCCTTGTTTAGTGATTATCTAGCAGCCGCCGATGCTCCTGGATGGTATTGTGGACCCAATTTCTACTCGGTTGATATCCTGCGTAATTTTGCTGAATCACAGGTAAAATGTTCCTTCCCAAATTCCGGTCTTTCATCCCAATTGGCAATTGTTATACCATCGACCAAGGCGGGATGTTAGACCATGGACCAGGGTCCACCTTGCATTGTGGACCCTGGTCCAGAACAACATTCAAATTATGTACTTGCAGTTAACATATTATATGTGCATTCAGTTAACATATTGTGTATCTACAGTTAACATATTATATGTCTGCAGTTAAGAAATTATGTACCTGTAGTTAACATTTTATGTACCTTTAAGCTGTTACTCAGAATCACACTTGTTTGACTTCTCAGATCGACTACATCCTTGGCAAAAACCCGAGAAAGATGAGTTATGTTGTGGGCTTTGGCAATCACTATCCGAAACACGTCCACCATCGGGGTGCATCAATCCCTAAAAACAAGGTGAGGTACAACTGTAAAGGAGGATGGAAATGGAGGGATTCCAAGAAGCCAAATCCAAACATCCTTGTCGGAGCCATGGTTGCCGGTCCAGATGCGCACGATGGGTTCCACGATGTCCGCACCAACTACAACTACACGGAGCCGACGCTTGCTGGCAATGCCGGACTGGTGGCTGCCCTTGTTGCTCTATCGGGCGAAAGGAGCACTAGAATTGACAAAAACACAATATTTTCTGCGGTGCCTCCTATGTTCCCCACCCCGCCGCCCCCTCCGGCCCCTTGGAAACCTTGATGGCCGAGGGTTACACTTCCAATTTTTATTTTTTTTTCATGTGTGACTATAGGTTGATTTGATCATGGCCTCGTTGCGACATCACGAAGGTCTTAGGTCTTATAGACTAAGACGATGACACCCGGAGTGGATTCTTGGCTAAACTTCAACTTGAAAGAGGGGAGACTCCAGAAGAAATGCAGAGTGTGTTATTTGTTTGTGTGAATGTGTCATGTCCAGAGTATATATGTAATGTTATAACAAATTTAGTGATGTATTCTTTAAAAATTGAAAACGGAAGTTGAACAACAAAGTTTTGAATTTGTTCTAGAATAAATTCTTACAATTTGCATGTCCACCAAGTTTGTGTTGCAAAATTAAATATACATTTGAGGGTAGGGAGGGCAATTCACATATATTTTAGATTTTACTCGACTCTTTAACATTGAGTTTTCTTGGAGCTACATTTTAGATTTTTTGTTGACTCTATTTGCCATTTGTTATTTGATATTTGGAAAAACTAAAATGGTTGAGAAGTTGTAGATTTCTTGAGTTTGGAAGCTTGAAAAGTGTCTTAGATATAAATATATAATCTTAAACATATAAACTAAATAAAACTTAATTATGAGAAAGTTAACCTCGTAGTAGTGAAAATAGTATTAGATATTGAAATACCTTTGCCATCGTTGATATTATCTTAACTGTATTGTCTCTGAAATGATAAATCTGCATGGAGAAAGTTAGACATTTTGTCTTACATATGACTCAGAACTTTAAAAAGTGAAATACACTTAGACTTAGAACTTGCGTTTGGATGCGGGCCATGCGGCTGGGATGGTGACACGTAGAATGAAATCGTAATTCCCCCTCTTTAAGGGGGCTATGCATAGTGAACCCAAAAAAGATGCCACTTTAAACGTCATTCTAACGAATTTTTTAATAGTAAACATGCACTTATATGGTTTTTGAGTTTTACACACACACATTACTCCATCCGTCCCATTTTATGTGTACAATTCAATTAACGAGACTTGACTGATTTATTTTTAATTTAATTTTTCATAATGTTAACAATTTATTAATAATATATATAATATTTATAAATGGGAAAATGATATCTTTTTCCCCTGAATTATTTAAGTGATAGTTTTTTTCCCTGAAATGTTAAATGGACATATTTACCCATAAAATAAATATTATACTTATTTTTCTTCTCCAACAAATAATGACCACGATTCGGTTCAAACCGAGCAGACACTATAGCAAACCAACCGAAATATTCTTATTACAATTTAGAATCGAAACCCAATATTTAGAATTTATTAAAATCGTGAACCGGAACGGCCGGTTCATGTTCCGAACTGAAAAAGTACATTTATTATTGAATTTATACTATTTTTAAAAATAAAAAATAAAATTTTAAAATAAAGTTTGAACCAACAGTTCAAACTGGATCCGGAATTGTGAACCGACAGTTCAAAATCAAAACCAAATCGCGGTCATATATACTTATATGTGAGAATCCGAATAAATGTAAAAAAAAAAAAACATACACTATTTGTAAATATTATAATTCTAATTTTAAACTAATGCTAGTAGTTGTTCCAATTCGAACTGTCGGTTCACGGTTCCAGATCCAGTTTTTTTGATTTATGATTGGGAAAATGGCGCTTTTTCCCCCTGTGTTGTTTACTAATAGCACATTTCCCCCCTGTGTTGTTCATGTAACCACTTTATCCCCTCAATTGTTTTTGAAGTGGCTATTTTTCCCCCTCTCCGTTAAATAAGTGTTAGGGATGTTAAATATGAGGGTAAAAATGACATTTCACTTATTATTATTATTATTATTATGATGATTATTATTGTTATTATTTGTTAGTCAGTGTTATTATTTATTTATATTATATGGTTATATTGTGTGGCTTAGAATAAGTTGACTTGAGCTTCTCTGTCTGTTAGGAGAACTCTCGTAGCTTATGTTTTATAATCTGATACACAACACAACCTCCGGCCGAAGTGCACGTAGCTACCGCCGGTGAACCACCCGTGATGCCGTCGGCAGCCTCGTCGGATGGCTAGTTTCCCGACACCGGCGCCGCCGCCCACGCCACGCCGGATGCAAGCATGATGACGCGCTCAGATGAATACACCGGCCCCGATGTCCTACGAGTCGGGAACGACGCAGGTTTGACTATCTCTCGTGTCGGGCATGCATCGATCCCATCCGAGTCCAAAACTCTTAGTTTGTCTAATGTGTTACATGTCCACAGTTTATTCGTTCCATTACTGTCAGTTAATAAATTTACACAAGAAAACGGAGTTTACTTTGAATTTCATAACGATTTTTTTGTTGTGAAGGATTCCAAAACCAGGGCCACTCTGCTTAAAGGGCCAACCTCCGGGGGATTGTACAAGCTTCCGCTCTCTCACTCCCAATTTGCCTTCGTCAGTTCCCGGGCCACTCCTGAAATATGGCACCGCAGGCTAGGTCATCCGCATGGTTTCGTCCAAGATCGGATTCTAAAGAATTGTCCAGTTTCAGCCAATAAACAAAAATCCTTGGAGTCAGGCACGTCTTGTCACCTCGGCAAGTCGTGTCGTTTTAAATTAGATAATGTTACAAATACCAGTACAAATGTATTAGATCTAATATTCACCGATGTATAGGGCCCGGCTCCTGTAGTCTCGAGTACTGGTTTCCGTTATTTTTTATTATTTGTAGACGATCATTCCCGTTTCTGCTGGTTTTATCCGTTACGGGTAAAATCAGATGTTTATAAAATTTTTGAACTGTTCCGAGTGTTGGTAGAGCGACAATTTTCGCGCTCTATCAAAAGTATACAGTCTGATCTAGGGGGTGAGTACCAAAAGTTACACACACGTTTCCAAACACTGGGTATTATTCACCGAAAGTCATGTGCCTATACACATGAACAAAACGGACGAGTTGAGCGCCGTAACCGACATATTGTCGAAACGGGCCTTGCTTTACTCGCCGAAGGATCTGTACCAATGGAGTATTGGGACTTTGCGTTTGAAACCGCAACATGTCTAATTAATTACCTCCCAACATCCGTGTTAAACTATGAAAGTCCCTACTCACGTCTACACAAAGTGTCTCCTCCATACACGTTTCTTCGAATTTTTGGGTGCCTGTGTTATCCTTATCTTCGGCCTTACAATCGCCATAAGATAGAATATCGCTCGGCACCCTGTGTCTTCCTTGGATACCCCCCATCCTTTAGGGGATATAGATGCATGGATCGTACAACGGGGAAAGTTTACATCTGTCGTCATGTCCGGTTCGACGAGACGGTGTTCCCTTTTTCCATTGGGACACCCGCCCCGTCTACTACTCCGGAGTCAACACCGTGGGCCTCTGGGCCCATAGTCCCGCGAGTAGCCCCGATGGTCCCACGGCCAAACAACACACCGGAGTCCTCAGAGTCTGAACCCATGCCGTTAGCCTGTGAATCGGGTCCTTTAGCCATCACCAGGCCACCTCGTCGCAGGGCTAAACGACAACGCACTGAGCCTCAGGAACGAGGTCATGTTATGCGTCTTCGGCATTAGACAAGGGGCACGGACGAGCCCTTTCAAGCTCTAAATATAACTACTGATCCTACGTGTTATTTCCAGGTTGTAGGACATCCACAGTGGCGTGACGCCATGGATCAGGAGTTCAACGCTTTGCTTCACAACAGCACTTGGCGTTTGGTCCCACCAGCACCGCACATGAACATCATCGGCTGCAAATGGGTGTTTCGCACCAAACGCAGGGCTGATGGCACTATCGAGCGCTATAAGGCTCGTCTAGTTGCCAAAGGCTTCAACCAGGTGGCTGGCGAGGATTTTTTTTGACACTTATAGTCCGGTGGTAAAGCCGACTACTGTTCGGCTGATATTGTCTCTCGTTATCTCCTCCAGCTGGACAATGCATCAGCTGGATGTCCATAACGCCTTTTTAAATGGGCATCTAGCTGAGACTGTTTACATGAAGCAGCCACCGGGATATGAAGATCCGACACACCCGGATCACGTCTGTCACCTACAGCGCTCTTTATATGGGCTAAAACAGGCCCCGCGGGCCTGGTTTAAGCGGTTACATGACTTCTTGATTCTTGCAGGATTTAAGTCGTCAAAGACTGATGTTTCTTTATTCCACTACACCGCCGATACATCACGGGTATATCTACTTGTTTATGTAGATGATATCATCTTGATGAGAAATGATGCGGCGTTGATAAACACCTTGCTACAGCGACTTGCCTCCACCTTCAAGATCCGTGATCTTGGCAAGCCGGGATTCTTTTTAGGGATTGAAACCATAGCAGTAGATGGAGGCTAGATTCTGTCTCAGAGGAGGTACATGACGGATCTGCTTAATCGTGCCGGGATGCTTAATTGTAAGCCGCTCACCACACCAGCTGTTGTCACAGTGTCTATGTCCTCGGATGCCACTCCTTACGAGAATCCTACTCAATGCAGGCGTATTGTGGGGGCCCTCCAGTATTTAACGATTACAAGGCCAGACTTGTCTTACTCGGTGAATCGTTTATGTCAGTTTATGCACGCACCCTCAGACGATCACTGGAGTTTGGCTAAACGGGTGTTACATTATATAAAGGGCACTATCAACTACGGCTTTCGCATTGCTCCGTCAACATCCACGACTATCCAGGCGTTCTCAGATTCAGACTGGGCAGGTTGTCCGGTTGACCGGAAGAGCACAAGTGGATATGCTGTTTTTCTCGGGACCAACTTAATTTCATGGCTATCCAGAAAGCAGTGTACGGTAGCACGTTCGTCCACCGAAGCAGAATACAAAGCCCTAGCCGATGTTTCCGCAGAAGTCACGTGGGTGGTCTCTTTACTTCGGGAGCTAGGACTGCATTTTTCTCATCCGGCCACCCTGTGGTGTGACAACCTTGGAGCAACTTATCTGTGTGCAAACCCTGTCTTTCATGCACGGACGAAGCATGTCGAGATAGATTATCACTTTGTTCGAGACAAGGTAGCCTCGGGAGACTTCGTTGTCAATTTTGTGTCAACTAAAGATCAGCTCGCAGACATCTTTACCAAACCACTGACAGGGCCGCGGTTCACTCTGCTTCGTGACAAGCTCAACGTTGTAGCGCACCAACCTTGTGCTTGAGGGGGTGTGTTAGTCAGTGTTATTATTTATTTATATTATATGGTTATATTGTGTGGCTTAGAATAAGTTGACTTGAGCTTCTCTGTCTGTTAGGAGAACTCTCGTAGCTTATGTTTTATAATCTGTATTTCCTTTCTGTTACAGTTAATTAATGAAATTCATATTCCAATTTTATTATTATTATTATTATTATTATTATTATTATTATTATTATTATTATTATTATTATTATTATTATTATTATTATGGGAATTCGCGTAGCTTCGTCCGGTCTCGACTAGTCGACTATCGGGCAACACTGCAACAGCTTCGTCAGTTCGTCATCGGCAAAGGTGGAGACCGGAGACAAGGTTCGTCGTTGTCGGCCGGCAGTCTTCCAGTGTCTCCGTATCCCGTCTCTGTGTCGTCGTCGTCGACAATCTTCCAGACTTCAGAGTTAGGGCTTGGGAGGAATGGGGGCGGGAATGCGGGACTGCGAGAGGGGGCTAATATGCTTTAAGTGAATAATTCACGGGGGAAATGTGCTATAAATATATAATTCAGAAGGAAAAAAATGTCATTTTCCCTTTATAAATTTAAAAACTACATTAAAAATACTATTAAATACAAAAAAAAAAAAAATTAAAGAAAATGAGCAAAGAGTACAGAGTTTGTTTGACCAATATAATAATAATAAATAGGACATGTAACATGTGACATATAGAGTACATATCTAGAGCACATGTGGAAAGCATGTATAGTACCCAGGCACCCAGCAAACACGAGCCTTTCGCGCATTTGCTAGATAGGCGTTTTTGAGTGGTTGCCATTTTAGGCTATTTTTTATCCTTGCAATACTTTCTTATTTTAGAAAATTAGTCAACTTCACATCATTAAATTTACAATCCCCTAATTATTTTCTATACATCATTGCAATTTCAATTAATTTTCAAAAGTAAAACTTGCATCCACATCATATTCAATAATAATAAAACTATAACAAAAAATAAAAATAAAAAAGAGTCTGAAAGGCTTGCAAACTTAACATATCTTGATTCTTGCAAGCTTCAAGCCAAGTGTGATAATTTTTTTATTTTTGAAAAAAAAAAAAAAAAAAAAAAACAAGCCACATAAGCTTGCAAGTTGTGAATTACATAAATGAATTTAGCCTCATTTTTGTTTAAAAACTTACAACCACCCAACCTGATATATAGAGACCTACAAAAAAACTTTCAAAAAATTTCAACCACTATATATAGTTGCTCTAAACCCCAAATATGTTCTTTCATGTCTTGAGCAATTGTCAAAGATGGAAGGAGTTAGTGGCAAATCGTCCTGCATGCTCTTCAATGTCTCCAGTAAAGCGTGTCGAAAATTGAAAAAAGTCACCGACTTTGTTGGTTTTTGAATCATTGAACTTAAAAAGTGTGTAATTAAATTATGATTATATTACTTACATAATATATAATGAGAGTTGTTATTTCTTTTGTCATACTAATTGGGAGGAAAGATCAAAATCTTTTCAACTCAAATTGTATTAAAAGAAATCTAAAAAAAAAATGTCTCAATTACAAATATCAAAGTGTACCGTGAATCTTGAATACAAGGCGATACTAATGTTCTACTTGATTTTATATTAAGTTATAATCATGTCCATTAATTTAGTCATTTATCAATAATAAATAACGAATATTAAGTGTAGAAAATAAATCAAGTACACAATAAATTATTACGCAGCTCAGAGCCCTTCCCCTACGTCTGCAGGGTAACCCACATCTGCTCAATCCACTATAGATGTTCACCAAAGAGTTTTACAAGAGGTAAGTACAAATGGCTATCAGCCGTTACTACCCCAACCCTTCCTAACACCTAGGAAGGACTGAACCGTGCATACCTTAACAATCTTCAAGTGAAATTTGTTGGTGATAATGAACCACAATCGATTTAATATCCATAAAATAATATTTATATATATACACACGAAATATATATAAAATATTATTGGATATATGTATCCGAAATATATATATACACACAAATATATATAAGACGGACCCAACGGTTATATATAAATGTATATCTACGAAAAAAGATATACCAATATATATCAACCAAAAAGAGAATATAATCCTTAGATTATAATTCCAAATTAACAAGAAAGAACGGATTTTTGCTTAAAAGCATAATCCAAAACAAGAAAGAAAGAGAAGGAAGAAAGAAATGTACGAGTTAGGCAAAGTGCTTGTCTTTCCTTAAAACCTTATTTGCCACCTCCCAAAAGTGCTAGGAGCGTTGTGACCTAGGTTTCCCAGGATAAAACGTACAACGGTTCGACGTTTGAGCACCCAAACGAACGAACCCGGCGAACTAGAGCACGTGCAGAACACAGCTTCAAGAATGGAGTAGGAGCAGAGATTTTTGGAGCTGGGAAAACGAAGTTTCTGTGTTGTGTGTGTTGTTCTCAATCCGTGTAGAAACACTGCTGCTACCCTCCTTCTTATATAGGGACGTAGGACATCAAATAGCATTTAACTAGGCCATTAACACCAGCCTTGTAACATCTGAAACAGCTGGTCTTTAGTGCAGATTTAATTCAAAAATCAAATACAGAAATTAATTCTGTAACGGATGAATTAAATCTCCAACTGTCCAGAGACGTATCTGGTAGACCGAAGTTTCAACCTCGCGCTGCGCACGAGAGCAACTCTCGAGTTGCTCTCGGCCAGGTGAGCATGAGAGCAACTCTCGCGTTGCTCTCGGCTGGGTGCGCACGAGAGCAAGTCTCGTGTTGCTCTCGGCTGGGCGAGCACGAGAGCAAGTCTCGTGTTGCTCTCGGCCACCTAGCTGTCAAGTGGCTTAAACTGATACCGAAAAGTTGGCAGGGCGAGCACGAGAGCAAGTCTCGTGTTGCTCTCGGCCACCTAGCTGTCAAGTGGCTTAAACTGATACCGAAAAGTTGGCATAACCTTAGCCAAATTGGACGACATTCGTGCCCGCGCACACAAGCTCGAGCTTAATTGGCTTGAATCAAGCCTTTTGATCTCGTTTCTAGTTGGAATTTGATTTGCACCTCTCCCCCCCGCGCAAGAGAGCCTCTATGCTATACAATTCTACAAGCTCTAAAAAAAACTCTTGTATAAAAGGGGGGTCAAATCCTCTTTCCAAACCAATGTGGGACAAAAGCTCACTTTTTCCCTTCATTTTTCCAACTCAATGGGTCTACTTTGAGAATCAATATCTCATTCACCCAATATCCGTTTTGAGCGTACAATATATCAATCTCTTCGTCTCACTACGAAGAATCCGAATCCACTTTGACCCGATCCAAATCGGAAGTGGACCCCACTAATAATTGTACCACAAAATAGCCACTTAACATGTCATTATATGCCATTTTAATGCTATTTTTTCCAACAAAGTTTCAGCTGACCCAGGTACAGACAGTACAACTCAGAATAAAATCCACATAGAACAATGTAATAAAATAAATTAAAATAATAGCACTGTATAGGATTTCCTTTCTCTCAATTTGCTAGTTCTCAATTCGTCAATTTTCATAATGGAATGCCTTCCTTTTATAGTAATAATTACTCCACCAGCTTGATCCATATTAATAGCATCCCATTTGCTTCAAAGAACCACAACCACTCTTTTTTATTTTGAAATCCTCATAATAAGCATCCACCAAATACAAGTTCTGCTGACTTCCCTTTTCATGTAACAAATAATTGATAGTCATTCAAATAAATATCATATGATAGGAAATGGTCCAAAGAGCTTAATCTAGCTTAAATCTATTTAAAATAAAATAAAATAAAATAGCCAACATAGATTTTAATGTGTACTAACTATGTATACTTACAACATATTTTAATAATTTCATTACATACTTTTTAAATTTAATGAACTATTTAACACTTTTTTTCCATCACCTTTTAAAACTTTCATTTCCTTTATTCTTTATTTATTACTAAGAGGACAACAGTCAATGGATGTTGTGTTGTTATTAATCACTGTGCTCTTCAACCGCAAATTGGAATTGGCGTGTCACGTGTTCCGGCCAGAAAATGGGAAATTTTATTTATTTGATATTTTGTTAATTTGTTATAATAATATATATTTTATATTATTTTTAGTTTGGTCCCGGTTTTAATTTGTATAGCAAACGCGTTGACTATTTTATGTATTTTTTTTTGAAAACACTATTTTATGGTTTTAATTCGTCTTAATAAAATTAAATTTATCTCTTAATACTCACATTTTAACGTGAAATTATTTCATTCAATTTTTTATATTTAAGTATAATAAAATGAATTCTTTTTAAATTTATGATAGTCAATTAAATTTTTAAATAATTAATAAATATAATTTACAATACACGAGGGCAATATATAATTACATTTTGATGATTCAAAAGGAATATTTATAACACTTAGAATCAAAGAGTGACATTTATAATTGATATATATCTGCAGAGCATAAATTCTAATTTTCCCTATAAAGAATTTATTAATATGTCAAGATAGGAAGATTAATACTTCTTCTGTCACATTTTATCTGTCTTATTCATTGGTCAAATCAACTATTTTTTTGTTTATTTTTTTTTTAATATTTTTACTTATTTTTAAATTTATTTTTTTGTATTTAATAGTAGTTTTTAAATGTATAAATTTTGTATACTAATACTAAATTTAATATTATAAAAAAATTAAATTAAAATAATTTTAATCAAATTTCGCTAACTGAATCAGATGAAATAGTTAAATTTAATGAGAAAAAAAAAGGCCCAAAATAATCCCCATAAATTTGTCTAGAACAGAGAATATTGTGAAAGTCAAGTCAAGATGGCTGCTGGCGCGTCTTTCAGTTCACGCAAGCTTCCTTAATGTCCGAGTTAATTCATATTTTTAAAAAAATGGAAAAAGCAGAGACCAGAGAGAAAGATTAAATAAATGAAAAATAATATTATAATACCTTTACCAAAGAAATTTCAAAAGAAAATCATAATATTCTCAAGCTAA